TAAATTGTGATTCGGATATACGAAATTTGATGGATCGTTTTTCATTACATTATTCGATTCTGTTAGAGCTACTTTAGTAGTTTAGTTACAGGTTCGTTCAATCCATTACCTAATATATATCTCCTTTTGTTTTTTTAGGGTTCTTAGTGCATTACCTAATAATTTAGATGTTTCTTTAAGTCTTTTTCGTATTCACAGCACCAATTTTTTCGGTACCTCCCTTTACTCCGATAACAGATTGTACGATTTTTATATTGCTATTTTGCTGTCTGAAAATGTGAGCAAAATTACAATACCGACCGAGTAGAGAAGAACTGAACAGCTATTCAAGGTTGATAACCTTTTTCTCGTTGAACCCCTCTTTGCCATTTTGCTATAAAAACGTGTTTTTGTGATGTTAAAATATTGAATCATCCTTTCAATTTGTAGGCTAACACAAGTTCTACTTCCTCTAATTCTCGAATAGCTTTTGCTTAAAACATATATATATTTTGCAGCTTTTAAAAAACCCGTGTTTTACACCGAGAACCTCGAATGTTTGGTGTAGAAGATTAACACTCGAGAGTTTTTACAACTGTATTTCACCTTACTAAGGGGCTACACGAGTCATTTGTCAAGGCTGTACAATAAGGTTCTTGTATTATTTCGTCTCGTTTGCTAGAATTGCAGAACACCCTTCGAATTCTAGTTAATACGAAACCCTTGTATCGACCATCTCTTGATCTTGATTCTATTAAATTAAAGACATCAAATAATAAATAGGTAGATCGCCTGAAGTTTCCTGTTTGCATTCGTTGCCATTTTTTCTAAGTTTGTAGTTTTATTTTATTTTTGTATATTGAAGTATTGTTTCATTCAGAATAGTATTGAAGGAAATACGAGCAAATAATGACGGGCGTTACCTGTATTGTATATTTTCTCAGGTTCAGCTAGCAAATCAGAATCAGCTTATTGATCATTATGGATCGAAGCATCCGAAAGAGAATCCTCCACCAAGCAACTCATAATAATTAGCAACAAACAGACTTTTGCTTCTTCTAAATATACAGCTGTTTCTTTTGTCTCTGTTGTTATGAAATGTAATTAGATCAGATGGAAGTGTTCTTATGTTTCTGTGTTTTGTGTAAGAATTTAACTTTGTGAGAAGCAGATTAACAACTTTTTTTAAATCAGATTGTGCTTTGGTTATTTGGCCAAAAAATGCTTATTGTCTGGGCTTAATTATACTTTGCACCTTTAAAATATAGTATTTTTGCGCTTTGCACCCTCGAAAAAATTTAAAATCACTTTGCCCTCGGAACATAATAAATAAATACCAATAAACCTTGAATAGAATAATCAAAATTTAATGAGGGTTTTATTTTTTATTGGTTTTCAATAAACTAACAAATTAAATTGTTGTTTTCTATCTTCAGTTTAATTTCGAGAGAACAAAATGCCAAAAAACAAAAATCACAAAATGCTTGCTATCAAATTTCATGTTATAAATGAAGGGTAAATTACATACGCCTCCGTGAGGTAAGGTTAAATTACGAAAAAATCTCTCTTGTTTGGGTAATTACAACCACCTATCAACTATGAATTTTCTTACGCGTTCATCTTTACTGTGTCAAATTCTAAATTAATATTTTAAATTCCGTAAAATTTTCTCAAGTTTGTACTCGTTTTGTGCAAATATGCAGAGTTTTAGATGCACCACAATCTAATATTACAAGCCAAGCGACACATCTTATGATTATCTTTGTTTAAAAATGTGGAGCTCGGATAGGGTAAAATATGTACAAACTGGAAAATATTCTACATAATGTAGAAGATTTCACTATATTTGACACCACAAGGATGGACACGTAAGAAAATTCACAGCTGAGGGTGTAATTGTAATTACCTAAGCAAGAAGGTTTTTTTCGTAATTTTGCTAGAAAAAAGAATTAAAAGATGAGAGAGAAAATAGTCCACTTGTCTTGCAAGGAAGCATGACAAACGAATTGGGATATAATCGTGGTCGATCGAATCAACGCTTTTTAACAACAAGTGCGACTTTACCTTATAATTTATTCATATATATATAGATATCTTCCGTTTCAGATTCCATCATCACAATCTCACCTCTTTATCGCATTCATCTGGACTAGGGTTTGCTCCAAATCCTCCGTCCTCTTAATCTCCTTCACAGCAATACATATATATATATATATATATACATACACATATGCAACCTCCTAATAGAGTCCGAATCGCAACAGTTTTCTGCTGAGAAACCCCTCTCCTATTGGGATTTCTATCCGATTAATTGATTTGAGGATTAGGGCTTTTTTTTTTATAATGATTATCTCCGTCAAATTCCGATTCTCATCTTCATCCGATGTCAAACTCACATACAATCTCCGAGTCCTTGGCCCTGGTTTGAATCCTTTTGCTCCTTACAACATGGGCAATCATTCCTCTCGCTAAATTTCTCGTCTTTTTTCGATCTCTTTTAATCAAGGTTATGTTGAAAAGGATTTCATATTAGAAAATAAGCTCTGAAATTTCCGGGTCTTTCCGCAATCAATTTAATATTTTTCAGATACGTTTTCTGTCCCGAAATTCGAAGATAAGGTCAATCAATACTCTGAGAGAGAAAGTGTTTGGAGTTTTATGCTCAGTATTTGTGGGTATATTAGTTTCTTTTTCTTTTTTTCGTTGCGTGTTTCTTTTCGTAAAAGAGGGATTTAGTTTCGAAATTAGGTCTACTCTGAAGAAAAAATTATTACAAATTGAAGGTTGTCGTTGTGTTAGCATATATAAAAAAGGGTTTGTTTTGCTATCCTACAATGCCGGAGTTTGAGGTGGAATCTATTAGAAGGAGCCGGAAGATGTTCGGTTCAGGAGGTAATAGGGATGATCGAGGCTGGACCTTGCTCCATATTCATGCTCGGAAAGGTGACCTCAGAGAGGTATGAATTCGACCACTCCATCATAAGTTTGTCTCAATTTTACGTATGTGGTATTTCTTTAGATTGCTTCGATTATTTTCGTTAGGTTTGGCGCTCTATTACCCTTGATAAATTAATAACCTCGCGTAAATAATTGTTTTTTTCTGATCCCAACTCGGTAAAAATCTACTAAATTATTAGTTCGATAATTTACTATTTCTCTAAATTAGTAGAGTTTGGTTAGTCCCGACTGTATTAATTTATAGAGGTTTAACTGTAATTCTAGGTCTTCTAGTGAATATATTGATATGTATGGTTTTAGAATTCTGTTGATTATTTTCTTATGTACGTGTTGCATGACTAGCGAATAACATTAATTTGACATTGCATCAATTGTCTTTAGTTTTTCAAGGATCAACGTATTAAGGGAATCGATTCATACTTGAAGAATCTTTTGTCGGTGCTGTGATGTCTGTGATGTCGTTATTTGATTGCCACACTATCATGAATTCTCTATGTAGCATTAATTCTGACTATATCCAAACTGTTTGTCGTCATGCTTGTTGGAGTAGAAACCAATCTGCTTGTTTCTGAATAGCTTCTTTGGAAAATGTCTCATCTAATTAAGTTGCAGGCCTCGATGTGTTATATATCATAAAAGAGTATTGTTGTCTCTAATGTCTTAAATGTTGATGAAGAGGGATTAAATAACCCGCTTTATGCAACGGTATTATATCATGTTTTCTCTGATACATTATACTACGTGTTTGTTATTGATGTATAGCTTATGTTATCCTATTTCTTATTTTTATTTTTGTTTTTTCGTTGTCATCTGTTGTGCCTACATTGATTTCTTACCGCATTATTTTGCAGGTGAAGCGGCTTCTTAATGAAGGAATGGATGTTAACGTGGCTGCTTGGGGGCCAAAGTCGCACGGAGTGACCCCCCTCCATCTTGCTGCTAAAGGGGGGCATCTGAAAGTTATGGATGCGTTGCTTGAACGCGGTGCTAACATTGACGCACGAACTAAGGGTGCATGTGGCTGTACGTATATTCGTTTTTACATCTCTAATACCTATTTAGGACAAATAAGAAATAACTTTTTTTTTTCTTTTTATATCTTACTTGTATTTTTGTTGGCAGGGACCCCACTTCACAATGCAGCTAAAGAGAGGAAGAAGAAAGCGATAAGGTTCCTGGTCGAAAACGGGGCATTTTTGCCAGATGACATAAACGATACACGGTTCAATCCACCTGTACACTACTGCCCTGGTCTGGAATGGGCTTATGAAGAACTGAGGCGTTTACAGCTCGACAGCTGTTCGTCTGGTGAGACATCCACATGCAGCTCCGATAGTTGAGGCGTATTACATTATACCTCAAGCGATGCTTCTACCGTATACTGCCATTGGCTTGCATATTATATTTGTGTCTTCTCGTTGAAATATTATATTTCGTTGTATTTTGTGGTGCCGAGCTGAAATATTGTGATTCTCTTGCGTCTGTGTGTTTATGAGGGTATCTCTTAGTACCTATCTTTGCACTGTGTTGTGTCGAACATTTTGTGATGCCGTATGAGAGGCAATGCGCTAAAAACTGGTGATGCTTGTGATATTTTATATTCGTAATTTCATTTTGTTGGAAGATCGAATCTAACAAAATGCCGGTAAAACTGCGCACGAGTTTCATTATTAAAAAAATCCTATGTACTTAAAGAAGCTGGTACAAAACAAATCAATGTACTATCTATTTTGAATTTTTACTGCCGAATGTTAAATATTGGAACGGCTCAATCGAGGCAAGACATGAATTCCGACAGCTTCATATCCGGTCGGAACCTCCACCATCCACAGTCTCGCTGGAGCCAGTGCCGCCACATCAACAACCGCGATGCGCACACCATCAGCGCACAGCACACACACCTTTCCGGCTGCTGCCACCACCTGCTGTGCTCCTTTAAGCAGCTCATTCTCCACCACCACCACCCACGTGTCGTTCACATGGTTGTACTTTTTCAACCGACCCCTTGACTCATCCACCGCGTAGATGGTTTCCTCCTCCATCGCCGCCGCCGGACCCCTCCACCCTGCCAACATCCCCTCCGGCATCTCCCCCCACGAATCTCGATCAACGTCGTAGATTATCCCTTCCTTGGCGGCGTCCCCTTTCACGTTCACCATACACAGTTTCCCCTTCCACCCGATGGCATCAATCGCTTCCCGGCTGAATTTGCCGTCTTTCAGCTTCGCCAGCTTCTCCCATCCCGACGGCTGCCGCCGGCGCTGGTGGCGGTGCTGTTGGTGAGCACCCAGGTCCCACTTCTCGATCGACCGGGCGACGTCGTTTTCATAGTAAGAACTGATTCCGCTTGCCACGTAGACCACCCCGCGGGACGCTCCCGCCGCGCACCACCGGCGAGGGGCGGAAAGCGGCGGACCTTGGATCCACTTCTGGGAGAGTGTGTCGAAGACGAGGGGTTGGGGTAGGGCGGGGAGGAAGGGATCGGCGGTGGCGGCGAGGAGGACTAGGTTGCCGGAGACGGCGACGGATTGGATGGGGAGGTTGCGGGATATGAAGGAAGGGTGGCGGAATTGGAGGCGGAGTGGCGGCGGCGGAGGAGGGAGGGGCAGCCAATTACATGAAATCGGATCGAAATTGAAGAAGTGTACGGGGTTAGCTGAGAGGTGGTGGTGGTTGTGTGTGGGTGAGAGGAGAGCGTAGAGAGAGAGAAATGGCGGGAAAGAGGGAGCGTAGATGAGGCGGCGCCATGAACGGCAGACGGAGTAGAGAGTTGATGGTGGGACGAGAGATAGGCAGAGCTGAGCTACATCGTCGGGGAGTCCGGGGAGCAGTGGACTGTGGTGGTGCTTTGGCCTTTTTGCGGTGGTGGTGATCATTCCTTTTTTTTTTTTTTTTTTTTTTTTTTTGAAGTAGGAAAGTGGTGATTTGGAAAAATGAAGGTGGGTTTATATAAGAACCAAATCTTTTGGGAATTGTTTATTGGGTGGTCATTAAAATTCTACATAATAATAATAAATAATATAAATATAAAAATAAATAAATACGAAAAGGTGTGGGGGAGAATGAATATCAAAGAATTTAAAATATTAAACGCGTATTTTAGAGAAAGTTGGGGGAGGCGTATGTTAGAGAAAGTGGCATATGCCTTATCGACGACAAATCTAACTTGGGAAGTGTGAGAGTGAAACCTTAGAAAGATGATTTTGTCTCATTCTTAATTGGTTGATAAGTACCGCCACTGTCGGTCAACCATGACACGTTTCTTTTGTGCCACCCGTCTATTTATCTCTTCTTCTTTTTTTTCTTTTTTTAATTATTATTATTTTTTTTTGTTTAACCAAAATATATTTTAGATTGGGTCATGGCCCAAATATGAAAACAGAAAATTATTGAAATATCGTTTTGAAATTGGATTTGGAATTAGTGATAATCTCCTCATATTTTTTTCGCCAAATTATGGATCAAACGGGATGTAAATCGACTACGTTGCCTGTATACATGATTAAAATATTAAAGTGTATATTTTGACTAAACATAGTTGATTTAGTAATCGACCATAACGGATTACATAAGCTACCACATATGACATAACTATACCAAAATCGACGACAGAAAAACTAAAGTATATCGGACACATAGAAGTTCTTCCACGCAATACATTGTCCGGTGACATAGAGGATGAAGTTGTCCATTTATGAGATTAGAGCTATATTTCAATTCCGATAGTGAACTAAATAAAATGTATAACTTCACGTGGTGGCAAATCGGGACCGGAAAAGATAGAGTCGAATTAAATGCAAGCATTTATAATATTAAAAAAAATGCCAACCAATTTAAATTAAATTAAATAGAATGTCCAACCAAACAATTAAAAAAAAAAAAAAAAAAGCAACCCCTAGATACACTGAATCACACACAAAATGCCATATACAGCAATTTGTATGAAGTCATTCATAATTGATGCATTAAAAGCCAACCCCTAACTTTTTTTGCAATTATTGCTCATATCAATCAAACACCCACTAGCTTTTTGTATTTATTGATAGTATGAGAAAACACACACACACACACCATGCTATTTGCACCCCACATTGCCAACCTGCAGTATTTTTAATACAAATACCTATTTCAACTATTGTGTGCATCTGTTCCGCAATGGATGACCTACTGATCACTGTAAATAAGTCCGTGTCAATTGGTTCGGGTTTAGATTTCATTGACCATAGTCGCTAGGTCAAACTTGTTACACATACTTAACCTAGTGTGATTTACGTCTCTCATATGATTTACAAGCTATTATACAAGAACGTAAAATCACCTTAGTGCACCTATATATTTGACTACGTGTTCCATTCATTACCGAAAAAAAAAAACTATTGCATGTATCAATGAATCAATTGAAAACAATATTTATAGTTTTTTTCCCAGAAAAAAAAATCGTATCGGAGTTGGGGTCAATATATTAAATACTGGTACCAATTCAACTTCATTGTTTGAAAAAAGAAAAAATACAAATATATTTTCTTTTTCCAAAGATTATATAATAATTTATTTTCAAATTTTTGTCCGCAAATTTAATTGGACTTTTATATTTTGGGCTTTAAATATTATTGGAAAAAAATGGGCTGGTTTTATAAATATATAATTCTCAGTCCAATACTCGCACTACAGTTCTATAAAGCCCACTAACTATTTTGGGCTCTGCAATTTCAGCAGAAATATACAGAACAAAATATTTCCTCTAATTATATTTGAATTGAACATCAACAAAATTAATAATTTCTGCATAATATATATATTTTTTAATTCAATTCTCCTGCTGTGGAAAAGTGCGCCTGAAGGAGGAGAAGGAAAATGGGGACGACGGAAGAAATTTTATCGGAACTTCTCGGAGTTGAAATGGAGCTTCAAGATGTTCAAGGTATATTCTGTTTTGATTTTAGGTTTTTTTTTTTTTTTTTTTTTTTTCTTTTTAAATTTGCTATTTTTTTTGATATTGCTTTCCAAATTAACTCGTTTGCTGTGTGTATTTTCCGCCTTTCCATTTTGCCTATGTTAATGGCAGCAAAAAATTCTAACTGTTATTGATTCTCTGCTGTTGTATCAGAGCAAATAAAAGTGTTGTTGGATCAGCAGGAATCGTTGTATCAGAGGCAATCGGAGCTTAAAGTTCTATTGGAGCATAAAGAATCTTCTAGAAGCAATGGAGACGGAGAAGAAGCTTCTGTTTCTGTGGAGAATTGGTCTGGGGAATTTGAATGGGACTCCGAAGCTGATGATGTTCGGTTCAATGTTTTCGGCATATCGGCCTATCGTGCTAATCAGCGAGAGGTTTGCCGTACTTTCCGTTTATTGTTTCAGGTTATTGATATTTGTTTAATTGAAAATAAAATCATGCCGAAGCGGCATAGATCATGACTCATTGTAAACTGCATTTTAATTGAGTAATTTGTGTTGTGACAAAGTGTGCCACTATCGAGAGCTGCCATTCGTGGAATTAGCTCCGACTAAGGTACTTGCAAGGCAGTCATGATTAGAAACTTCGTGGCCGACAGGAATAAATGTAATCCTACTTTGTGGAAAAACTATGATAAGGACAGCTGAGAACAAAATGCCTCGATGCAACAAAGTTACCCGCATCTCGAGCAAACATAACTCCTTTTGGGGAAATGTCAGTCAGAAAAGAGATTGATCTTTTCGAAATGACATCTCTACATTCTTGCATCCTATTGACTATTAAGATACATGTACATATTGTGATGTATCTTGGATTCCGGTTTCATCAAATTATGAGTAATATAATTTTTTTTTTCTGAATTGAAAAGCCACTGATTTTTCAAATTTTGTGCTGTTTACATGTTAATTCAAACTGTTTCGTGTGAACCAGATCATAAATGTAATCATGAGTGGAAGAGATGTTTTAGTAATCATGGCTGCTGGTGGCGGCAAGAGTCTTTGCTACCAACTTCCGGCAGTCCTTCGAAAGGGAGTGGCTCTTGTTGTCAGTCCTTTACTGTCTCTTATTCAAGATCAGGTAATTATTAGATCAATTTTTTTTGTGTGTGTGTGTGTGGGTGGGTGGGGTTTGGTGCTCGTTGACCAGCAGTTATCATGTTAACCATTGGTTCAGGTAATGGGTTTGGCTGCTTTAGGAATCCAAGCATATATGCTGACATCAACAACGAGCAAGGAAGACGAGAAGTTCATTTACAAAGCTCTAGAAAAGGGGGAAGGAGAGCTCAAGATATTGTATGTCACACCAGAAAAGATATCAAAAAGCAAGAGATTTATGTCGAAATTGGAAAAGTGTCACCATGCTGGTCGCCTTTCTCTAATTTCCATTGATGTAAGTATGCGAGTACACGGTTCTTCGAACTTTTATTGCTCAGAATAACCCGATCAGTCTCTATTATTTGCACTGATTTGTTTTAACTTTTATTTGGAAGAGATACACAATGCCCTCTCAACTGTTTGCTTATACTGATTAAACATATTATTTAACTACTTTTCAGGAGGCACATTGTTGTAGTCAATGGGGCCATGACTTTCGTCCAGACTATCGGAATCTTGGTATATTGAAGACCCAATTTCCTGATGTCCCCATGGTTGCTTTAACTGTATGTCATATTTTATATTTGATTGATATATGCCCTTCCCAGATTATTATGTGTTCCGAACATGTGGAATTCAACTCGTCTTTTGATAGGCCACTGCTACAAAGAAAGTACAAGAAGATCTGATGAATATGCTGCACATACCAAAATGCATTAAGTTTGTTAGCTCTGTGAACAGGCCCAACCTCTTTTACATGGTATAGATTTCATTTTGTCTTTTCTCCTAATAATATTAAATGGACCAGGTTACGTTTTTCAATTACATCAAGTTCTGTAGCACACCTTATTTTTAGAACTGTGGAATATACTTCGTAGGTACGAGAAAAATCATCAGTTGGGAAGTCGGCGATTGATGGAATAGCTGAATATGTACAAACCTCATATCCGAATAATGAATCTGGGATAGTGTATTGTTTTTCCAGAAAAGAGTGTGAACAGGTATCTTCATATATCTGCCATTTTCATCTAACAAAAGAGCATTATGTAGGTTTCTCGAGTTAATTGTTGTATCAAATAACCTAATTAATTTATTAAGTAAATCTGTTTCTTAGTTCTGTGTAGAATCCGGGAGTCGTAATTTTAGGCTTGAATTGCCACATTATTCTAGGATTATTGCTAGGTGTCATACTCGATCAGGATTGGATTTCAGTGATAATTGGATAACTTTTATTTGCTAATTATATTATCTTTTATATGCCTTGTCTTTGTTGAATGGTTACTGAAAGCCCGAAAGTTCTATTTAGAAATTGTTCATGTCCAAAAAAATGTAGGTTGCTAAAGAATTGCGGGATAGGGGAATCTCAGCTGATTACTATCATGCAGATATGGATGTCCACGCTCGTGAGAAAGTTCATATGCGGTACTAACTTGCAATTGTTTGCTCCGGTCAAAGGAACTTGTGAAACTTTACACCTGCTTTTTTCATGCATGACATTTGTATAGAGTGTGCTATGTCCAATACAGCTGCTACATAAACGAATTTGGTTGGAAATATATCTTTTTACAAAATTTGGCATTCTTTTTCAAATTGACAAAATTGTTAAATGCACGGGTGAAATGGTTGTTGACCTAGTGAGTTTGGTCCCTGGATTTGTTCTTTTCAATTTTCGGCAGGGCCGGTGCTTATTTCTCGTATATTATGGTTGACTTAGTGATTTTTCATCTGTGATCGTCATAGGTGGAGTAGTGGCAAGTTGCAAGTCATTGTTGGCACGGTATGTTCAGGATTTTTTTTTTTTTTTTTTTTACTTTAATCTAATGATGTCAAAAAATCATTGCGACGGTATTTTATCTTGCAGGTGGCATTTGGAATGGGGATCAACAAGCCAGATGGTTAGTAACTATTGTTGGCTTTATTCTTGTATTATAAGCAATGATTCTTTTTTTTCTCGTACTTGTAATGATAATTGATGGTTGTAGTCAGGTTTGTTGTTCACCACAGCTTAAGCAAATCGATGGAGACATATTACCAGGTTTGTGCTTATGTAAATTTTGGTTTTGCCTTCTATAGTCTTTCTTTGTGTAATATCTCTTATTACAGGAGAGTGGTCGAGCTGGAAGAGACGGTCTCCCTTCTGAATGCTTGTTATACTTTAGACCAGCTGATGTCCCTAGGCAGGTAAATTAGTCGGTGAGTTATAATCTTCTTTAGTTGTTCACAGCATTATCAATCTTATGTCATCACTTCTTCTGCAGAGCTCAATGGTCTTCTATGAAAATTCAGGGTTGCAAAATCTTTACGACATTGTTCGGTATTGTATGGTATGCTTCTTCTTTTTTTTTTTAGGTAATAAAACAAATAATATATGTCAATTACTTGTTGATTGAGCTTTCATCGCTTTTATGTAGTCTAAAAGGCAATGTCGAAGGGGTGCTTTCTTCAAACATTTTGCTGAGCCTTTACGAGATTGTGATGGTAAAAATTTGAACATCTCATTCGCCTTTTCTTACAAAAACCTAACTAAAGATTCTAACACTTCCTTTTCAGGGATGTGTGATAATTGTGCATCCTGCAACGAGATCAAGGAATTGGATGTAACTGGTATGCCAAATAAATTGTTATAGTATATTCTAATTGATTAAGCTGAAAATAAAATTCAACACACGGACTTTAAAAAACTCTTATGCAATATTCTCGTTAACCTTTCCCTTATGAGTCTCGAGAATTCTATTCTAATGTCAATATGAACTCCAGATCACGCCAAATTTATAGTATCACTATTGCAAGAAATGCAAGAGAATGACCAAAGGGTGACGATGTTGCAATTAGTTGACAAGATAAAGATCAAGAACAAGCATTTGGGTGAGTTCTTATTAGAACAAGTTGCTATTTGATATGTTCGCTAATCTATGGGACTTATATGTACATATATGCATGTGAGCATACGTTTTGAGAAGTTGTGCGTTAAATGCAAGTTTGCATCATCTATCGAAGTATCTTACATAGAGAATAGATGCACAAACATATACATAGTACTGAATTTATTAGTACTTGCTCAGTTCCTGCGCTAAAACGGGAGGAATTGGAACAACTTCTCGTTCAGCTTTTGGTGGATCTTGTTTTGGTAAGATTTTCGACATCTTGCTCTTGTTCCAGTTTTCGCTATGTGTATTCTTTGATTTTGATCTACAACCCATGCGAAGTTATTTTGATCTTGATGAATAAAAAAAGATGTCTAACTCTTCTCATGCAGAAAGAAGAATTCCAGCATACGGCGTATACGACAAATGCTTATTTGACTACAGGACCTTTGGCAAAGCAAGTATTGCATGGTAACGAATAAAGATTCTCCGTATCTGTCACTAATTTACGGACTATTTCGGTTTTTTTCTTACTGCATGAAGATAACCCTAAAAATCTCCCAACTATAACTGCAAGAAATTGCAGGAAAGAAAACAGTTAAGCTTGAAGTTAACTGCGGACAGAAAAACAGTTCAACCAATTCGAAAACTAACAAGCGCGGAAAATCTAGTGGGCTGGAATATAAGCTCGACGAGCTGCGAAAGGAACTCGCTTCACTTGACGGGGGAATATTCCCTCACTCGGTATTATCCACTCAGCAAATTACCATGTTGAGTGCCGAGAAGCCTAAATCAATGGAAGAGGTATAATCACTAATCTTTGTCAAATTGCGTCGCTATCAGACCGATTGAACTGCTTATTATTATTATTATTTTTTTTTTTTTTTTGCCTTGTTGCAGTTGGAGAAGGTAATTGGAAAGTTGAAAGCCGATAAATACGGGGCGAAAATTCTCGAGTCAATAATCGAGTATGAATCAAAGAACCAAACAGATGATGATTTTTCAGATGGTGGAAAAGATGAAAGTGAAGGCAGAGCTATTAAGAAGTTGAAAACTAAGAGAGCTCTTGTTGTCATTGAAAGCAGTGGAGATGAAGCATGAAATCAATCTTGTATTATTAGTTTTTTTAGTTATTTAAAAAAGCCGTGAAAAAATATTTTTTGGTTCTTCTTTAAGATTTTTAGGGATAGTAGAAAATACTCAAATTGTTAATTTCTTTTCAGGTCAGGTGTAATATGATGTGAAAAGACTAAAATAACCTTTATTATTTAATGACAGTATAATTGAATTAATCTGAGTAAAAATTAAAATAGGAAAAATGCGTTTAATGGAATATTATAATTTTAAACAAAAATATTGTTAGAGAATTATGGAAATTGAGTTAGGAATGATAATAATGTAGAACATCGATGAATTAATATATTAAATAATAACTCCCTACTGGTCCCGATTCGGTGTAAAAATATTAAATTAGTAGTTTGATGATGTAATATTTCGCTAAATTAATAAAATTTTGATTAAATAATAACTTCTCTTCGTCCTGACTTGGTATAAATGTATTAAATTAGTAGTTTGACAATATAATATTTTGCTAAATTAATAAAAAAATTATAGTTTCGACTGTATTAATAGATAGATGCTCAACTTTATTTGAGAATTATGGTACTAGTAAAGTAATAATTTCTAAATAAAAGTTGAGTCCTTTTTAGTCTTTTAATAATAAGGGTAGGGCTTGTAATAAAGAGTGTGTATATTTGCTTGTTAAATAATAGCGGCAACCAATTCTTCCATACAAGAATATATTCGAACTCTCTGCCCTACCACAAATATAATCAGATTTGGGTGCAGAAAAATCGCGACCTAGGGTTTCTATTTTCCCCCCTCTTTTCTCCGCGCGACAAGAAATTCTCCCGTAATTCTCCCCTCCGGCGACTCTCAGCTAAGCAATATGGCGGCGGCGTCGGGGATTCAGAGAGGCGGTGGAGGAGGGCGGCGAGCTATGGACGAAGACGACGCTAAGCTCGTATTCGAGACTTCGAAAGGGGTGGAGCCAATCATGAGCTTCGACGAGATGGGGATAAAGGACGACCTCCTCAGAGGAATCTACAACTACGGATTCGAGAAGCCTTCCGCCATTCAGCAGCGTGCTGTTCTTCCTATTATCTCCGGCCGTGACGTCATCGCTCAGGCGCAGTCCGGTACGGGAAAGACTTCCATGATTGCCCTTGCTGTTTGCCAAATTGCCGATACCAAGTCCTCAGAGTATGGTTTTTTACTTCCCCCCTCCTTATATTCTTTTTGTGCAATTAATTCTATGTGTCGTGTTAGCCTCTATCTTTGAATTTCAATTTTAGAAATTAGGGTTCTGTTTCTAGGTCAACTTCTGCTTTTTAGTGAGCTTTTTTATTTTGAGGTTTTGTAATCATCTTTTGGTTGTTAATTATGAATGAATTGCTTCTCTATGGAGTCTGGACATCTTATTGAATTTATTTAATTGAGGTTATAGGGTATGCGGTTCATATTATTTAGCATTGAGAAGAGTAGATGTGCTCGTCCCGTTTGTGCCGTAAGGCCCATAACTAGTATAGTTTAACTTGTGTCTGAAAAGAAGTTCAGTTAATGATGTTTTTTTTAAATATTTGATTTACTCGTGTTCTTCTTAAATTTAGGGTCCAAGCCTTGATACTGTCACCTACAAGAGAGCTGGCTGCCCAGACAGAGAAAGTAATATTGGCAATTGGTGACTTTATAAATATACAAGCTCATGCTTGTGTTGGAGGTAAAAGTGTCGGTGAGGATATTAGAAAATTAGAGCATGGAGTTCAAGTGGTGTCGGGTACTCCAGGCAGAGTTTGTGACATGATCAAGAGGAGAACTTTACGAACTAGAGCAATCAAACTATTAATTCTGGTGAGTTCCATTTTACTTCTCTCATTTGATGTACTTGGACTCTTGGAGTAGTTTTTTGTGCATGGTACTTTTGATATATCTGTCCAGTCATTTTATCATCATCTTATACCTTATTTATGCTGTTCTTCTTATAACATTTTCTCTTTCTTGTAAAATTGTTAGGATGAGTCTGATGAAATGCTGAGCAGAGGGTTTAAGGATCAGATTTATGATGTTTACAGATATCTTCCGCCAGAGCTTCAGGTGATCTCTCTCTCTCTCTCTCTCTCTCTCTCTCTCTCTCTCTCTCTCTCTCTATATATATATATATATATGTATATATATATATATATATATATATATATGTGTGTGTGTGTGTGTGTGTGTGTGTTTATGAGAAATGTTACCAGTAAAATGCATTTCGAGGCACTATGAGGCATGAGTATACAATTTCTGCAATAGTGAGCCATTGGTACAGAATAATGTCATGGTTTGTCTAGTGCACGTATCGAGGAAATACGTATCATCTGTTTTCTCAATGTATTTTCAACTAGGAAGAAATCGCTTGTTCTGGCCATTTAAAATAAAAACCAGGACCAGATCTCTTCATTTTAAGTTTCTTAATTTTTATTAAGGAATATATTTGGTACTTTGCATGAAACTTTTATGTATATCATATCATTTGTCATGTATTGCAGAGATTTAATTTTTGTTTCCATGTCTGTGCTGATCTATATAAGGAGTCTCCATCTTGTTGCGGAAATTTCTCATCCTCTTCTGTCATTTTTTTTCCAAAAAAGTATTTATGTTCCCATATTTATATATATTGTTTGATATGAGGGAATTGTTATTGTAGGTTGTCTTGATCTCTGCCACCCTTCCAAATGAAATATTGGAAATCACAAGCAAGTTCATGACTGATCCTGTTCGGATTCTTGTAAAGCGTGATGAGTTGACCCTCGAGGTATACTCTTCCACCTATCTTCATTCTGTAAGGATAGTTCTGTAGAAGTTGGGAAGCAAGTTTGGGTGTAATGGGCAACTATCCACGCTTCTCAGCCCTATTTAGTGACATGTATCAGTAAATAGAGGGGTTGGATTTATGTCTATGTATCTTGAAAATTTATGAAGTATCAGTTTCTGCCGATTAGCATCTTTAGATCCTAACTCTTTTGACATAAAAATTCTTGTAAAACCTTCTCTCATGGGCACAAGTTTCGTGGGTGTTAAAATTTGGATTTTGCATCAGATCTGTTCTGATCCATGATTACTGATTTTTATCCTTTTTAATGACAGGGCATCAAGCAATTCTTTGTCGCTGTAGAAAGAGAAGAATGGAAATTTGACACTTTATGCGATTTATATGATACCCTCACAATTACCCAAGCTGTTATCTTCTGTAACACAAAGCGGAAGGTACTTTTCCAGTGACTTGCTTCAACATTCTTTGATGTTTTATTTGTTACTATTTCTAATGGCTATTAAGTATAATGATGTATAAACCTCTCCTTTATGGCATGATTTTAACAGTGCACTGTCTTATTAATATTTCCTGGTTATCGGTAATTGTCTAGTAATTGATAGTCATGGCAATTACTGTCACTGAAATTTTATGTCTTCCCTTTGTATGTGACAGGTGGATTGGCTGACAGCAAAAATGCGTGAGAATAACTTTACAGTCTCTTCTATGCATGGAGATATGCCACAAAAAGAGCGAGATGCAATTATGGCGGAATTTCGGTCTGGCCAGACCAGAGTTCTTATCACAACAGATGTTTGGGCTAGGGGACTGGATGTTCAACAGGTACTTAGACTGTGATTGCTTGTTAAGCATATTGTCCAATTTCCATCTTGCACGACAAGGTATTTTACAGGGGTATGCTTGTCTGTGAAAATGGAATGAAAAAATTCTACATATGTACACTTGTAAATCCAATAATCCCCGTCTGTTTGTCTGTTTTGTGGGTTGAATCTAGTCATTCCCCCTTTCTTTAACCCCTCTCAACTCTTCCAATTTATACTCAAATAGGTGGCAATTGATTTATCTCTTTGTATTCGCCCAGGTATCTTTGGTGATTAATTATGATCTTCCAAACAACAGAGAGCTTTACATCCATCGCATCGGAAGATCCGGCCGTTTTGGGAGAAAGGTAATATATCACTTGCTTTTGAGATCATTCTTCAAACTACTGCATCGTAAAGCAGGAATAAAAGTTGAATAATTGTGTTACGAGGACTTCGAATTTTTAGGCTCCATTTGAGTTAATTGTTTCGCCTACCCGAAGTCCCCAACTATCGTTCAAGCTCCAAATTGTGTTATTCATTTCAAGATTAAGTTTGATTTATTTTCTTTAGTTCTCACTTTTTTCGTTGTTATTATTGGCTCTGTGCTGATTTCCTATCCCTGCTGATATAATGTGGGTTTTAATGATTGTTGTGCAGGGTGTTGCCATAAATTTCGTCAAAAGTGACGACATCAAAATCCTAAGAGATATCGAGCAATATTACAGCACACAGATCGATGAAATGCCAATGAACGTGGCTGATCTAATTTAACCCATCTTATGGAAGATCTTGGTTTTTTATTACTTATGGCTGTCTGGGCCTGTCCATACTAGGAAACTGCTGGACTTGTGCTGGTTTTCATTTTCGGTTTGCTGAGTGAGCGTATGTGGATTTTCGGTGTTGTGTTTTAGAAGTAAATACTTTGGTCTAATTTAAGTTCTCTACTTTATAGTTTGGATCTTTCACCCACTCGCGATTTTCTGGGGTGAACGTTAAACGACTATTCACATGTATTTCGTTTGATTGAAATATTTAATTTCAGCCACTGGCTTTTGGATTGAAACTATGCTTGTAATGCTTGTTTACATTTTTAATCTTTTTTTTTTTTGGTTCTCAAGAAGTCATGTTTATTTTATTCATCAAAGTTACTTATGAACTTGGAAACTACTCTGGTTGCAATGCTGACACACAAAATTCAATATCTACACAAACCTTGACCTACTTATGTATGTATGTATTTAGATAGGCTAAGGTGCAGAATGTTTCAACAAATCTCTTGTTAATGTTCAACTATCTCAAACACAAACAATTGAAGAAGTTGCCACTGATGTAATGCAACTATGATGCAAAAGCTAAAACAGAAAATACTTCGGCCTTTCAAGAGAAGCTACATTAGCATATATCTCCATGTCAAATTCAACACAAGTACAAAGAGAACATCACATCATGGATCATATATCAAATATTACGGTTACTACGAAAAACGACTTCAAACGGTTAAAACAGAAAGTTGACAAACAGCTTTGAACCATTCTCTCTGTATTGCACTTGGAAGCAGTTCTATAGCGCGCACACGAAAATCTTAAGTTATATTTTTAATGGAGAAAAATTAGAACAACATTATTTAATAACCAATATCGCTCGGGTCACCTGTGTACTCTGCGATCTGCTCGAGCCTCACATTCAGCAACTCATGTGTATCTTCATCTCGAAGCACGCATGTCTCCTTCTCCGAGTCTCTCTCCACCAGACTCCCATACACACCCTTGTATCTACCGTACAAAACAAGAACCGGCCCTCCTCTTTTCGGAAGTGCAGTCTCCAACAACTCCTGGTCCACCCCTTGTACTAACTCCCTGCTTTCATCGACCGATATATCGCACATTCCTGGCCCCACAACATCCACAACCACCCCCTTCTTCAAGTACAATCTCCCACCTTTCAACTTCTTACTTATAATCCTCACTCTAATATGATTCCTCAACCAGCTAATTTTCTCCTTCCTTGGCTTTTCTTCTTGTTCATCTCTCTTTCTTGAAAGATTCCGATCCTTATTGTCTTTAATTTCCAATTCCTTCAACTTTCGCAAACACTTCTCTTCATCTTCAGAGCCCAACTCCGCTACATCCCTACTCGGGACTTCCACCTTCTCGTTGCTCCTCGATAACCTTAGAACCAATAAATCCCCTCCGCTTTTCACATTGACTATTTTACCCTTCATCCCGATCTTCCTCCCATTAACTATCCTCAACTCTTTACCCACCGGAAAAAAACCCTTCTTTTCTGTCCGACTCTCCGTCTTCTCATTTCCATTCACCGGATTCTCGCTAGCAGCATTGCCGTTAGTATCAATCTGTTTCTCCGGGATTTCTTCGATAAACCCTAACCCTCCTCTACCGATCTTCTTCTTAACCTCGGGAACTTTCACATCCTCCTTCCTATTGCGGCCGATGCCTGCACCTTCTTTCCAACCGTACCCCGAGAGCAGCGCTGCAGCAAACTCATCCACCGGCACATCCGTATAATCATCCATCCCGGAGTCTTCCGGAAGCTTCTCCAGATCCTCCTTCAGTTTCCTCAATTCCAAGTCAGCAATAGTTTCACCACGGTCGCGAGCAGGAACAGGAACACCACTAGTGGTGGCCGATGGCTGGCGGAGATTGAGGCCATATACGACGGAACCATCTGTAGGTTCAGGTTTGCAGACGGGATCCACCTCGAACTTGACGGCGGAATCTGCGCCGTCCGATTGGGAAATTTGGGGGAGATTGTGGAGGTTTTTGAGTTTCTTATTGGGGCGCCAAACGTTCGGAATTGGGGCAATTGATTTGATTGTGGAGTCCGGCGGTGGTCCTTCGCCGGAAAGGAACTCGACGACGTAAGTTTTGGTGGAGGCTTCGGGTTCGTCGGAATCAGCGAAGGGCGCCGCCGGCAATTTTTTGACGCGAGTGGATTTGGATTTGGCGTTGTTGAACGATAGATTCATCTTGCTCGAGGATTACGGAGAGAAGAATTCTTCAATTTGTTCCCGCCGGAGCAAGAACCGCCGGAGCAAGAAACCCTAATCAGGGTTTTGATTTTGATCGGGGTTGGAGAAAAAGCTTTGGATTTCCGCTCGTTGCCGGTCAAATACAAAATTAGAATTTTTTTTTTTTTTTTTTTTTTTTAACTAGAGTTTGCTTTAGGTAATTACAACCACCTCCCTAATGTAAAGTATAATTTCATAGCACCCCTTATTTTTGAGAAATTATATCCACCCCTGTAATTTGTAAATTTGTTACATCCACCCCATGCACAATGGTGTTAATGTAAGAAATCAATAAATTGTAGGGGTTGATGTATTTATGTAAACAATATGGGGTTTTTCGTATTAAACCTTAGCTCAGGGGGGCGATTGTAATTTACCCTTTACTTTATTGGATCTAGGCCCATAGTTAGCTATCAGCCCTGATAATAAAGCCCAACAGGCAATTCCACCTAAAATAAGTTCCATTATAATTTATTCGTACAAATCTTAACAAATCTTAGAATCTAGGGGCCTTAAGATATAAGTCCCTAGTGACAAAACTTATTAGAACTAAATGACAAGTTTAACTAAACATTTGCAACACATTCTTTATAAAATTCGTTCCAAAAATACCCCTCAATACACAAATTCAAATTCTGTATTAAGTAAAATTCAATTGCATTTATCATCTTTTTAGTTTGCATCTAATATTTTCATTTTTTTCTTTACAGCAAACACGTGTTTTTTTTTCCTTTCATCATTTTAACATTTCTTACACTATTTGTAAAAAAAATAAAAATTCTTTTTTATATATATAATATTGAAAATTACAAAAAATATATTTTTCATTTTTTTAATTTAATTTACGTATTTTTTATATATATATTTTTTAATTTTATCTGTTGTTAATACTGTAGTAGACTATGATGTACTATGATATACTGGTGTACTATGATATACTGGTATACTATGATATACTACAGCGTACTATGGTTTACTACGACGTACTATTCCAAACTCTGGCAGCAAAACAAACTCTCACCCGTCGCCAAACCCTAGCAGCCAACAACTTGCAGCCGCCGCCAACTCCTATCGACAAAACCCTAGCCGTCAACAAAAATCCTAATGCGTTAAAAAACCCAGATCTCCACATCTCCTTCTTCAGCCTTCTCTACTCCTCCGTGTCAGATCTGGTTGGGTCCTCAAATTTCGACGACACCGAAATCTTCAGTTTGCAGAAATATGAGAGAAGTGGAGAAAGAGTTGAAACGGTTCAAAAGACGAGAGACACAATTGCGGTGGGGTGGCTGGGAAAAAAAAGAGGGGAGAAAGATTAATGAGAGAAAAACCTAATTTATTATTATTTATATTAAGGGTATTTTCGGGTTAAACAAAAATAAAAGGGTGTGAGTCAAATTTTATTTTGAACTAAGGATTTAGTTAATATATTTCATTTGAGGTTGTCATCCACTTTAAATTAGGTTTATATTGAGGGACTTTTAGCATATTACCCCTAGAATCTATATATATATGTGTGACTAAAATATATTTCATACTAATTATCTTTTCACTCATCAATTAATATTGAGATTAATTTATGAGTAATAAGGGTAAATTTTGGGAAAGAGTAATAAATGAAGTCTTGAAATTATAGAGTGATATAGAATATGAAACGACAAAATTCTTCAAAAGTGATAATCATTGTTTTGCAAATGACATAATAATCGGAGCAAACCAATTTATGTCAACTGACACAAGTTCAAATTTGTTAACGACCCTCGTATTATTTGCAAGCTATTATACGAGTGTAGATTTATCATATGCATCTATATGGTTCGGCTGCAAATTCCTTCACTATGGACGACAAAATTCATTTTGTTGATAAATTGATTTGTACTAAATAACTTATAGAGGGGTAACTTCAACCGAGTCCAAAGTTTCAATTATGGTCAAGATAAGGTAGTCCGTTGGGAAGCACACCTTGCCCGTAAAACTATTTAATCGTGGGTTCGAGACAATAACGGAATTAGAGAATCAATAACTATCATTCTTCTGATAAAAAATAAAAAGGACAAAAATAAAAATCTCCAAGATGATTTTAATATTAATTTTAAAAATTATTTCAAAGTTCCCCACTTGCAAATCTGGAAAACATTTATGTCTTCTACTTTTATCGACCAAACTTGACTAATCTTTAGTAGTATGTATATTAATTAATATCCACGTGTCATCATTATCTTGTTATGAAGAAGAATAATAAATTATTTTTCCCTTTGTCTTTTTACGAGATTAATAACAAATTCTGGTCCTAGTATTTTCATTTTGCCAAAAGAGTATAAAATCAAACACCACAAAAGTCAAAAAGTACAACCTGTGAAGCAGAACGCACAACTCGTGGAAGCATCATTTCCTCTCTCCTCTCCACCCATTTTTTCGTGTACGTCTTCACCATCACAGCCACACCATTTGCATGAAATCCGAGCAAAAACCCATCTCAAATTCATCCCAATTTTGGAAACCCTAACCAATTTAGGTAGAAATCAGAACCCAAAAATCGCTTCTTTATTATGTATACACAAACAGCAATTTGAGTTTTGATTCAATTTCTTCCACTTTCAGTAACTCCAATTAAGCAAAAAAAAAAAAAATGGAGTTGATTTGCTCGAGCTGTACACACATTTCATCATCTTCGCCGTTGCTTTCGCCGGTGATTAATTACCCGAAGAACCACCGGAATTATGTGAAATTGAATCGGAAGTATTCAACTAGAAGAACCGTGAGAATTCGAGCGCGGAAGAGCGATTCGTTGGTACAAGTCGAGAAGCCCCTAGGTACAAGCAGTAATAGCGCGTTAGACCAGCTTGATATTGAACGCGGTGTTTGTGTTCCCTTCCGAAAGTACACCCCAGAGTCAGTATGTAATTATTTATGCATTTGATTTGTTGTTGTCGATCTTCGTTTCGATTCTGTGAATATTTTCAGCTCCTTTACTTTCACCTGAAATTGCTATTTGATTCCTTCATAATATCAGCTTTATCAATTTATCATAATTTTTTTTTCTTGGTTATGTTTCTAGCACTGAGAAGTTTGTCTTACGGTTACTGAGTTCGTGCTGTACCTCGGTATTTCGTTCGATTTAGATTATTGAAATCGAAACGGTTAATTTGAATAAGTATTTATGCAGAAATTGCGTGGAATCTAATGTTATTCTCTTGCCATAAGTGCTGCCATTGTTTTCAACTGAAACCGATATTCTGTGCCATTAGTGATTCTAATTGTTTCAATTGATTGATTTGATCGAAATTGGGCCATTGTTAGATTCTAAATTTGCATTTGCGTGGTCTAGTAATTCGATCACAAGAAATGTTCTAAACATTTTGCTTCAGAATTTTTTCTTGGTCTTAGTTGAGCTCTTCCTATATCAAATTACTTTGTTAATACGAATTATATTTTGCTAATAAATCGTTTTGGTTACTTATGTAGGTGAGCAATAAAGTACTGGAGTCGAGAGGGGCAATATTGTCATTAATTGGTAGAGGAGTGCAAATTGTATGGAATTTGGGATTCTATTGGTCCACCTTGATGTATGATTGCTTTGTGGGTCGTGATGAAGAAGTTGTTCCTTTCCGTGCACGTCAACTAAGGAATCTGCTCTGTGACTTGGGTCCTTCTTTCATCAAAGCTGGGCAGGTTTTTCCCCTTCTGTGCACTAGAGAACCTTGGTTTCTTATGATGTTTGTGATGATTCTATTTGATATTTATAATAAATGTTCATACTTCCTATTTTTCAGGGATTCATGATCTGATTTAAACTCCTAGCTGACTTGTCATTGCTATGTTCAAGATTTTTTTTTAGTATCCTTTATCTGCCTTTCTTGACTAAACTCTCGTTTTTCAATTTTTATTTTTCAAAAAAGGTGCTTGCGAATAGGCCTGATATTATTAGAGAGGATTACATGAATGAACTTTGCATCCTTCAAGATGATGTTCCTTCTTTCCCTAATGAGGTACCTGGTTATCGTTTTTATGACTCCTATCTCTAATATTATTTTAAATTGACAACCCATCATTAGAATGGTGTAGATCGCTTTTGCCATCATAGAAGAGGAACTGGGACAACCACTTGAGGCTGTTTTCAGCAAAATTTCATCAGAGACGATTGCAGCAGCAAGCTTGGGTCAAGTATATCGAGCCACACTTCGATCTTCTGGAGAAGATGTTGCTATTAAGGTTTCAAAGTTTAATCAATTATCATTTGATGCTTTTGATTTTGTTCTTGCATCTCGCAGAAATATTTTTTTCATAGATATTATGGAATTATGTATTTTGAGTTATCTACCTATCACACTGAATGTTGTGTCTTGTTTGACTAAAGGCAAATTCCTGGATGGTGTATAATACATTCTACTACAGTATATTATTTGCCATCCGTTTCTTGTTTTATCACTTTACAGAGTGACTTGCATACTCTGGAATATTACTAGGTCATCCCTTTTCTTTGCTTGTCAGTTATAAAGCATGATTCTTCGTTATTTATTCTTCTCTGGCATGTTTTTATCTCTTGTTTTATTGATTGTAATTTTTCATGCTTAAACTCATGAATAAAATTCCTGAATTGGTTCACTGTTATGTTCGTGCAGGTGCAAAGGCCTGAGATAGAGCCCATCATTTATAGAGATCTTTTTCTATTTCGTACGCTAGCTTCATTTTTGAATGGCATCAGCCTGCAGAAACTGGGTTGTAATGCAGAGCTTATAGTTGATGAATTTGGTGAAAAGCTTTTGGAGGAGCTTGACTATACCTTGGTACAGTTATCCACTCTTACCTTTTTCTACAGATGGACTCGCTTTCTCTCTCTCAATATATATATATACACACACACACATATGTGAGTGTGTATATCCACACACACTCACTGACCGATTCGCTCACTATTTGAATGTGATATCTATGTTGGCACACTCCTCTTCCTACTTTCCGTTTACCCTTCCAAATCACTTATATTGCTTCGTTTATGAGAAAACAGACTTGAATTATAACTGCAACTCGTATAAAATTGAACATATTTATTTGGGCGATGAGTCATCATCAGATTCTTTCTCGTTTGCTTTCCCAGGAAGCCCGTAATATTGAAGATTTTCTTGAGAACTTTAAGGACGACCCTACAGTTAAAATTCCCCGTGTTTATAAGCAACTTTGTGGTTCACGTGTGTTAGTGATGGAGTGGATCGATGGAATTCGATGCACAGACCCTCAGGTTCGAATGTCAATCGACATTTAAAAAAATTAAAAGAGCAGGTAGATATGTATTTAACAATGGTTATTTGTTGATGATACAGGCTATCAAGGATGAAGGAATTGATGTAGCCGGGTTTTTGACTGTTGGAGTGAGTGCCGCCCTGCGACAGTTGCTAGAGTTTGGTCTATTTCATGGTGACCCGCACCCTGGAAATATATTTGCCATGCGTGATGGGCGTATTGCTTACGTGGATTTCGGGAATGTGGCTGTTCTCAGTCAGGTACTAATAATATATTAGCAAGGTTGGGTTCGATCCCAGTTGCGTGTGTGCTTGACAGCTCGTGTTATAAGGCCATCTTTTATTTGTATTTGTTTAAAAAGAAAAAAAATCTAGAGAGATGTTAACTGTTTGTTTCACTATTATTTTGCAGCAAAATAAACAAATTCTTATCGACGCCGTTGTCCATGCTGTAAATGAAGACTATGCTGAGATGGCCAATGATTTTACCAGGCTCGGTTTTCTGGCCAGTGGAACCGATGTCTCCCCAATTGTTCCTGCTTTGGAGTCAATATGGCAGAACTCTGTTGGAAAAGGGCTTTCCGACTTTAACTTTAGAAGTGTTACAGGTATATTTTTGTAATTTCTATTTGGTTTGAAAGGGTTCCAATGTGTTGTTTCTTGTTATTTTGTTATTCATGCTATCTTTTATTTATCAGCTTATGAAGTTTTTAAATTTCGTCTTTTCCCCGATTGCTACTTAAGTTTCCGTGCAGTTTTCTAATTAAATGTGTCACAATCCTCACAGGCAAGTTTAATCAACTAGTTTACAATTATCCAATTCGCATTCCAGAGAGGTTCTCTCTCGTTATTCGCTCTCTGTTGACTCAAGAAGGCATTTGCTTCACCCTGAAGCGCGATTTCAAGTTCCTCGAGGTAACGTGTTTTACTGCTAGCACAACTATTTCCTTATTATTATTATACTTCAACAGAAGCTAATGAGCATAATGTGCCAGCATGGACTCTTTGACCATATTCGTCTGAACTGTTTTTTTCTCGGATAATAGAAACACCTGACTTTCACCTATTTCGAAAATGCCTATCATTTTAACTATATTCCGATTTTTATTTTTTCGGTTTTTTTTAATTAATCATTTTTTGCTCATCATTTGACCAGGTTGCCTATCCTTATATAGCAAAGCGTCTTCTCACAGATCCAAATCCTGCTTTACGTTCACGTCTTATTCAGGTTATCTCACAACCTCCGTTCACATACGCTGTTAACTCCCTCTTCGTCTTTTTCGGTTTTTTTGTTTTATCTAACTAACCTGATAAGAAGAGGTGGCATCAATTTTTTTACTGGTGTACGTCGTATTTTAATGAGAAAATATCGATCTCTTCTTCGTCAGCAATATTACGTGCTTAAAAAACCTGCTAACTCTGCTACTCATTTTAAAGTCTACGATGCAATATGTAACGAGTTCTCTATTATAAGCGCAAGTTTGATCCTTTGATATCGTAGTTCCGAACAATTTACATACATATATCTCCATGTCCTAAAAAAAGTTGCAAAACTACACACAAATCATATTGCAAGTAATAAATTTGAAATAAATTTAATGATCACTTGCTTAATACTCCGACTCGATTTTTTGCTTTATTTGGCAGGTTTTATTTAAAGACGGGGTTTTCCAGTGGAAACGGCTCGAGAACCTAATTGTTCTAGCAAAGGAAAACGTGTCAAAGATGAGCAGCAACCCCGCTTATCAGGGAAACAACACGTTTGTATTCTAAAACCCTTTTACTTTCCTTTTTCTCATTCAGTAGCCATACTATTTCTTTCCCTTGAGGGGTATTTATGTCATTCAACCCTTTTTGCTAATGCCAGAGAAAGGTCTACGGAGCATCAAGCTCTGAACAAATTGGACCTCACAGACACAATCAAAGACGGGACCCGCCTTTTCCTAATCGACGAAGGGATTCGAAGGCAGCTTCTTCTTGCTCTTACCGAAGATTCCAAGCTTCATATTCAAGAGGTTAGTAGAAAGTAAATAATACAATTTACTTAAAATATTTACGAGGTCGCCATTATCTAAAACGAGCATGCCTTTTGCAGCTTGTAGATGTGTACAGACTGCTCGAGGACCAAATAGACGTACGTTCAGTAGCTTTGCAAGTAGCTCAAGGTAAAAAAAAGCCTTCGTAAAAAAAGCTCACAGGGGCCATGTCCCCCACCACTTTTCGAAAAGCTTAATTAGCGGATGCAACTTCTAACGGTTTTATTTGCTTTTTTTTTTTTTTTCACAGATCTTCCTTCGGTTGCTCGAGATGTAATGCTTTCTTGGAGTGCATCTGTCTTGTCTAATCGATAGATAAGCTCAGTTTTTGGTGTCTTATATATACATACACTTATACATATATGTATGTTGTAAAATGTGATTTGTGTAGTTGTGCTTGAGGAAGTTATATAAATAACTCAAATTCAAGTTTTGTATATATAGCTACAATTATTTATACATAGAAAAAAATACTATATTTCTCAAATTTGAGTTTTAATAGCACAAATTAATTAATTTATAGAAGTTCAACTATACTAAACTCTACATAGTATACTAGCAAACAACAACTTTATATTATATTTTCTTCAGATTATTTTCCCGATTTACATAATAAAAGGGTAAATAGCACTTAACTCCCAATGGTTTGAATTTTGTGCACATGACCCCCTGGACTTTAATATAATCACATGACATCCATGTGGTATTCTATTTCGTAAATAACCATGCTCATTAAAGATGAAATTTATTGAAAGTACAAGGGGGTTATGTACTTATATTAAAATACAAGAGAGTCACGTGCTATATTGAAAGTACAATGGGGTTATATTAAAATACAAGAGAGTCACGTGCTATATTGAAAGTACAATGGGGTCATGTGCACAAATTTCAAACCACAGGGATCTGAGTGCTATTTACCCTAAATAAAAATAACTCAGAAGTAAAAAATAAAATAAAAATCCTAAAAAAGAAATAAAAAAATGCGCCTTACCAAATCTATTATGCGAATCTTAAAACGGGTCATAAAAAAGCCAAGTAGGTGGTATTTATCGGGTCGGGTTCTGACTCGCGAATCTCCAAACAACCAACAATTTTATTTTCTTCTCTTTTACAGTATTATTCTTTTTTTCTCTTATAAAAAGAGCGTAATCCGCTGCTGTTTATCAAAATCGAAACCCTCGTCTCCTCACTCTCCATTCCATACACCCACAGAAAACAATCTAGTTTTAGGAAGAAGAATAAGAATAATTCTTTGCATAAGATCCTCTTTTTGGTGATTTCTAGGTTTGTATGCATCTTTATTTCCGCATTTACCTCTGTATGGGACAACCTATTGCAGCCATGGATGCGTAAATTGATCCCGATTACATGTTTGTTCATCGCAATATCGACAAACCAACAGGTAATTCAATGTTCTCACTGCCCGCACTTGTTTTTTAGAAGATACTGTTGCGTTTGTTTGTTTGTTCTGTTTTAATTATTATGCAAATCGACATTTTTTCTTTTTTGTTTCTTGCATTTTGCTGTTAATAATAGGGTATATTTTTTTTTGTGGTTGAATGATTTGTTAGTTTTTACATGCAAGAGATGACAGTTATTGGCAAAATTTTTCCCACGGTGGTTGAAGATCATTCATTACTTTCAAACATTAGGGCGGCATTCAACTGAAGAGGAATTTGGGTGAACGTTTTCGAGTATGTCTCAACAGTCATCACGGCTGAATCGGCTGCTCACTTTGCTGGACAGTATCCTCTGTACAGCTGTTTATGCACGTTTTTTTTGTCTCTTTCAGAAATTAGTGACATAATAATTCCATATATGCATAAGATTATATTGCATTTATATGCTCGCGTATGCATTCCCTAGTAATGTATTAATGGGTTTGTTAATTTGTAGTATTTCTGAAATTAAACCTGTTCTAATCTGCTTATTTTGGACAGGGTATATGTTCATTTTTTGATTTTATGTATTGCAATGACCGGTTTTCATTTCCCAGTTTGATTTTGGTATGAAGTTTGCTATCGAGTATCTATATGTTGGCATACACGTTTTTTTTTTTTTTAAATGAGTGTCCTTGTTTAGTGGTTTGTTTCATCTTTAACAAATGCTAAGCCGGTTCGACTCAAGCAACTAGGTTTTCTGCAGCCAGGCAGATAGGGGAAATTGCCAAATCACATCCCCAGGACCTGAACGCTCTTTTGAGTAAGGTATGTTTCTACCAGAATCGTCATTTTAATGTCATTGGTACAGCTTATCAACAAGAGAGTGAGGATTTTCTTGTTTTACTTATTTTATCTGAAGTGCGTGAGTGTTCGGTTGTTGGATGTAGAATTACAGATGCTTTTGTTTATCGCACCTCATCATTGCATAAGTAATACTTAGGCTTCTCGCTGTCAATGTTAGCTTGACCATCGTCAAATATAATTATAGGTGTCACAGTATCTACGCAGTAAAAAATGGGATACCAGGGTGGCTGCTGCTCATGCCGTGGGAGCTATTGCGGAAAATGTTAAACATGCATCTGTGACTGAACTTTCTAGCTGTGTTGAGGTCAAGATGTTAGAAGCTGGGATATCTACCAGCTTTGAAGATATATTGAGTTGGTCCAACTGCCATTCTAAAATTGGAGCAGGCATTTCTTTCAGAAGGTCTCTTTGTTTTCTTTATTTGTGAATTCCATTCCTTCTTGTGGTCTTTGTACTGCCCTGCTGGCTGTGTTACAAAGTGATGTCATTTCATTTGGTTCACAGTTATCTTTTGTGATGACAATTTTGAATGTTGCAGTTTTGATCTAAACAAGGTGTTGGAATTTGGGGCTCTGGTGTCATCTGGGGGGCAGGTAATTCCCCACAGGTTTCCTTTTTGGCAATGTAAATAATAGATATTTATTTCCTTATCACCGGTTTAGACCTTTTTTTTGTGACCCTTTTATGTTTCCGGGAAAATACTACCTTTCTTCGTTAGGTTTCTATGTGTTCATCATAAAACCTTTTGGAATACTTGTAGGGCAGAGCTTCAGAACTGAATTACTTGTGATGAATCTTATGCCTTGCCATCTTATTTTCGTTAAGATGTTGTCTTATGGAGGGTATCTCTTTTAGAATCTTGGTATTATAGTGCATAGTGCATCAGGTTCAATCCAAATAGAAATTAGATTTTTGTGGTGCTCCATAAGTTTGTGATCATATATTTAACATTTCCATGCGTCATTGGGTGGGTCCAACTCATGATGGAAAATAAAATTTTGCATTAGTTTTTGTATTGAGTTGAGGTTGTGTTGGTATATAACTTCTTGTCTGTTGAAATTCCATTAACTGAATTACAGGAATTTGATATTGCAAGTGACAACAGCAAGAATCCTAAGGAGAGACTGGCTCGGCAGAAACAAAATCTTAGGCGTCGATTGGGTCAGTGCTACGTCTTTTAATATGGTATTTAACCAATAATGTGTGCTCCTGTTTTCGAAAAGTCTGCCTCTGATAAGCAGCAACACCTGAATCTTATGGCTATAATTTGTAACATTTGTTCTACACAAAGAGCTGATCCATTACAATACTGCTATAGTGGAAAAACCATGCTTTAGAACGCATCCGTAGTCCTCAACAGAAGATTATCAATCCTTCAATTCACATTCTAGTAGTTCTGATTTTCTCGTATATTATACTTAGAGAACAATGTTGCATTCTGCTCTGCAGAACTTTTGGTTGGCAACAATATTTTGTGATATTTCTTGTCTTTAGGGGGGCAACTTTTAATATCCTGCAGAAAGACTCTCGTTTGTTTGATACATTATGGTTTAGTTCTTCAGAGTTTAGGTGTTTGTCATACATATGATGAAGAAAAGATAATTTCTGATATAAGTCTTCGTTATTTGACTTCACACTAGAACTATCTTCGGGTTCCATTCTCTAATATAAGTTTATTGGTCATCCGAACGGGCAATATAAATCTTTTGTCAATGAAATTGAGGGTTTATGAAGACGACTTTAGAATTCAAACATCTCCTTTTGACTTAATATTAAAAACTTATTACCCAAGTGATCCACTATTGAATTGAAATGCTGTTTTCAACATTAAGTACAATGCATCTAATATGAGAACGACAGGGAACTCGGGAACTTTACATTTCTGAAAGCAGCATATGGGCAAAAAGTAGAACATTGTCATATTGTTTATCATTATCAATTATTTGTCCTTAATGTTTCTTACCCAGCTTAGAGTTAAGAGTTAGATGTTACCTGAAATTCTGATACACGTAATTCATCTGCTAAAATTGTAGTACTTCTCATCTATAGGTTTAGACATGTGTGAGCAGTTCATGGATGTCAATGATGTGATAAGGGACGAGGACCTTATTATGCACAAAATTAATTACTCTGGGAATGGGATTGCATTTCAGTATTTCTCTCAACCTCGTAATATCCAACAACTTGTGACAAGCATGGTGCCATCCAGATCTAGAAGACCCAGTGCCAGGGAGCTGAATCTCTTGAAACGGAAGGCAAAAAGTAATTCAAAAGATCAATCCAAAGGGTGGTCGAAAGATGGGGATACAGAGGCAGCACAGTCACTTGATATGGTATCACCGAAGAGCATCTCCGTAGACTCATCAAGCTCTTATAAGGTGAATAAGAATGATTCTGATTATCTTTTTTTTTTTAAACTGCTGGAGATGAAAATGTTATTAACTGGCTAACTGGCTATATTTACCCTCCCGATTTTTTCTTTTCTTTCCCAAAAACAATGTTGCAGTGTTACTGATTCAAACTCTTAGTTAATTGCTTCTCATCCTAGCTGGGCATAAAAAATAAACATTGGATTAGGGCTCTCTAGTCTCCAAATATAGCTAGGGTTCTTAAAGTAAAGCAAAACTAGTCTAAAATCTAGCCAGAACAAATATGCCTCTATTTTAACTTTTGAATATATCATAGTAGCCTCTTTGTGGAACTAATCTGATTTTGCTTAAAGCAAACCAACAATCGAGGTCAGGGTTGATAAGAATACATTTAGTGAGAGCACAAGACTGAAAAGCAAATCTCCATATCACTAAAGAGTGTATGAAATAAGTTTATTTAACATATTCTTTCCTCTCATGTTTTGGTATGGAAGTCCACCATCTTGACCTATTCTTAATTTTATTTAACATATTCTTTCCTCCCTTGTTTTGCTGAGTGTTTTCCTTTTCGTTTCTCCTTTCTAATGATGTTTGTTGTTTTCGCTTTCTTACGAGAACCTTGTATTGCAAACTACTGAACTAGTTCTTGATGCAGCAACTTACAGATACCGTTTCTGATGATGAAAGTTTTGAGAATGAAGGAGATGGGAGTTGGCCTTTCCGAAGTTTTGTTGAGCAACTCCTCATTGATATGTTTGACCCTGGTAAATGATTTTTTTATATTGTACTACGACTTGATATTTCTACAATTTATGTGAAATTTACCTTTCATTTATGTGCTTTCAGTTTGGGAGATTCGACATGGGAGTATCATGGCTCTTAGAGAGATATTAACCTATCAAGGAGCTAGTGCTGGAATCCTTATGCCTGAAGTCAGCTGTCGTAGTGCGTCTTTATCGAATATCGAAGTTAAAGATAATGAATCTGCAATAAAGAGAGAGAGGGAAATTGATTTGAATGTGCAAGTTCCCATGGATGAATTCGAGCCGGTTTTGAAGAGACCAAAACTTGAAGACGCACCATTTGAGATGATTAGCTCTGGAGATGGAGATCTAGACATCTGCATAAAAGCTGATGATGGAGGGCAACTTCCTACTGCACATGCAAATGGAGAAATTGATGTTAGTTTTGTGAAGTTGGAATCTCACTCTGGTATTGACAGTGCTAGCCATTCTATTAATGATGCTACATCGACAAAACAATACTCTGAGGACAATGAACCTTTGGAGAAGATAAATATATTGAAAAATCTTCCTCAAAACTCTGAGCTCATGAACTTCGTAAGAGATGCCAGGACTTCTTGGCTGCGAAACTGTGAATTTCTGCAAGACTGTGCAGTTCGCTTCTTATGTGTTTTGTCACTAGACAGGTATGATTTGTTTCAAACAACATTGCACATCCAGCATTTATTCTAGTTATAAATAGTGAAGTGAGTGAAGTCAAAATGAAACTAAAAGGAAAAGGAGGAGCTGTTTGGCTCGAAGTATGCAAGCAATACATTTGATATGCCATGAGTTTTTCATTATTTTTTGGATCTTTTTATATGCATTAATGTCTTTTCGTTGGCTGCCATCTTAGACTTTATGGTGTCAATCTTTGATATGTGGAGTGCCTCAAATGAAGATTTAGTCACTTGGGATTTTGGGAGATCTAAGTGGCTGATTTCTCTATTTATAGGTTTGGAGACTACATCTCAGATCAGGTTGTGGCACCAGTGAGGGAAACCTGTGCTCAAGCTTTAGGTGCTGTCCTCAAGTACATGCATCCAACATTAGTTCAAGGGACGTTGAACATTTTGTTGCAGATGCAGGTAAAATGATTAAACAATTGTCAGCTTCTGAAAGCATGTTGTTCTAGTCTATTTTTTTTTTCTCACTGCAACATAATTATCCCTTCGCTTCTTTCAGCGTAGACCAGAATGGGAGATTCGTCATGGGAGTCTGTTGGGCATTAAATATTTAGTTGCTGTTCGACAGGTATACAAACAATCAACAGAGGCACAACCAAATTCAACAAATTCGTTTCTTCGAGTCTCTTGAGCCTCATCTTGTTCATTTTAGAATTTAACCGCTTCACTACTTTGATATTGCTACTAAGAATCTCACGTTCATACCAGGAGATGCTCCATGATTTACTGGGATCTATTCTTCCTGCTTGTAGAACTGGGCTTGAAGATCCCGATGATGATGTGAGAGCAGTTGCAGCAGAGGCTCTGATACCAACTTCCGCTGCTATTGTTTCTCTCAAGGGTTCAATGCTGCATTCTATTATTATGCTGCTCTGGGATATTTTGCTTGACCTGGATGATTTGAGTCCCTCGACCAGCAGGTATTTTATTGACTGTCGCTTTTGACATTCTTCAGTTTGATGGTTATTGACTGTTCTACTCTGCATGTTTTGTTGCAAGTGCTTTTTGTATTTCCTTACTAATTAAATAATATGCTAACAAATACGTACGCCATTTCAATCTCGCTCCATTATTATATTACTTATCTGTTATTCTCCAGGCATCTTTTTGTTGCCGTACTTAAGATGAATTAACCGATCAAAGTACTTTACATTGTTCAAGAACTCTGAACTATACTAGAAATGTCGTTTGGTCTTGAAGTTCTTCCATTTTTTTTCTCCGTCTTCTGTCAATTTTAACACTCCTTATTTTGGTGGGTAAATTATAACTCTCCTCAACATTTAGTTCTCTTCACCCCATTCCCAAAATTTTTAGTTCTCGTGCTTATTATCATGAACACTCTACCAAACCTTGACTAATCAACTTTACTTGCATGTTTCATTTTGCATATGAGTTAAGTTTCAACTCTTTTTAGGTTCCTCTTTCGCCTAATTTCCTACTGAATACTTCATCACATTTTATATACCACCACCTCTTTTCATGAGTTCCCCAGTAGTGTTTTCCTCCAAAATGTCTCCCTAGTATTGCGCCCATCTCTCTAAGGTGCCTTTTCTTCAAACGCCTTCTTGTCTATCTATTTTATCTGTGGTGAGACATTTTATTCTGTATTATGTTCACGGGCTTAATTCTTTGGCATATAGGTCCTTGAATTTTATCTTCCAATCAAGTACTATTATTATTTTCTCAAGAATAATCAGTGATAATATCCCTACAATGTGGTGGTTTTTCAAATTTTGATATTTCTGTCTAATTTCTATTGCAGTGTAATGAATTTGTTAGCGGAAATTTATTCCCAGGATCAGATGATTCCAAAAACTTTTGATACCTTGGGCTCCAAGGAGACACTGGAGCTTGACCTTAATGAAGTTGGTCAGGCAGATGATCTTGAAGAAGGGATGAGTTCTCTGGAAAACCCTTATATGCTATCAACACTCGCACCGAGGTTATGGCCCTTTATGAGACATAGTATCACTTCAGTCCGCTTTTCAGCAATCCGCACCTTGGTAGTGTATTAAGCTACATTGACTTTTATTCGTGCCTACTGTGTATGACCTAATGTGATTGCTTTCCAAATTTAGAATTCTTGTTTCAAATTTTATTTATAGTTTTTTCTTACTTCTGCTAGGACAACATAGTCCATTGTTTCTCTTACTTTTGAAGTGATTATCCTTAAATAAAACTAAATGGTAGGCAACTAATGTGTAGGAACGTCTGCTTGAAGCTGGTTATAGGAAGAGCATCGCTGACGGATCTTGCTCATTTTGGCCTTCTTTTATAGTTGGCGACACCCTAAGGATTGTTTTCCAGAACTTGCTGCTCGAATCAAATGACGAGATTATGCAGTGCTCAGAGAGAGTTTGGAATCTCTTAATCAAAGTATGCATTTTTTACTGTTTTAATTAATTATCCTTGAGGTTTAGCTACTTTTGTAAAATAGTAATACTTGGTTGTCGTGTTCTATTTATAAACTTGCACCTTTGAAGGAGATTATTGTATAGTCAAAACAAACCTCAATAGGGTATTTGTAATATCTCTATGGGTTTTTGTAATTGTGAAAGTTAGTTGGGTTCTTTTTTTTGGGTAATTAGAGATAGGTTTCTTTGAGTACATCATTTCAACTCCGACTTTAGAATCTGTAATCTGACATCTCAGATATGTTCTTTTCTGTTCTTTTTTATTGTCTATCCCAGCATCAGATCTAGTGCTGAAGTTAGTTAAGATGCCCTCAATTAAGTGTCATTTGTACCAGGTTTGTGTATAGCGTGTTAAAATGCTCACAACTTTTGATGGTGCACATATGGTTGTTATCTTGTTATAGGTAGTTAACTATTTTATTTCTGATTGTTTCTGCTTGGATACTAAATTTCTTTCAATTTATCAGTGCCTGGTGGAGGACTTAGAAACTGCCGCAAAATTATATTTCTCTTCATGGATTGTGCTTGCTTCTACTCCATATGGGTCTCAACTGGATTCTACAAAAATGTTTTGGCCTGTAGCCCTGCCTAGGAAAAGTCATTTTAAGGCTGCAGCAAAAATGAGAGCAGTTAAGATGGAAAGTGAAAATCAGAAAAATGCCTCAGAATCTGCCGAAAGCATGTTAGGAGATCAAAATGGTGATGCTTCTGCAATTGCCGCTAAAATAATTGTTGGTGCGGATTTGGATATCTCAGTAACTTATACAAGAGTAGTTACGGCAACAGCTCTGGGTGTGATGGCTTCTAAGTTAAGTGGTCCTTCCTTGCAATATGTGGTTGACCCATTGTGGAAGGGATTGACTTCTTTGTCCGGAGTCCAGCGACAGGTAAATTTTGGATGAGAGGGAACCCGTGAAGTGTTTTTGTGCTTTTCTATATGTTAAATATATTGGATATTTCGTCTATGGTGTATGGGATGGATGATGTGTTGACTTTTCTTTTATTATGTCAGGTGGTCTCAATGGTTCTAATATCTTGGTTTAAAGAATTGAAAGACTCTGTAAAGTCTGATGAAGTTATTGCTGGCATTTCAAGTAACTTCAGGGTTTTTTTGTTAGATATGTTAGCTTGTGGTAACCCTGCATTTCCCACAAAAGATTCTTTTCTACCATATGCTGAACTTTCAAGAACATATAGTAAGATGCGAAATGAGACCAGCCAATTGTATAATGCTACAGAGGCATCTGGCTTGTACAGTGATCTGCTGTCATCCATTAAACTGGACATCGAGAATTTGACTGCAGATGATGCTGTGAATTTTGCGTCGCAACTTGTATTTTTGGGTAACACTATTTCTGGGCTAGAATCTGATGGAAGGAATTTATCTGAGGATTTAGAGTCTCTAAAACAAAAGCTTTTGACGACTGCTGGATATCTGAAATGTGTTCAGGTACATTTTAACTTTAGAACTATTACTAATAGATCTATTTTGTATTTCTCTGCATTAAGTATTTACAAGTGATTGATGGTAGAAACTAGTAAAAACTTTTAGATATCAACTAACATCTGAATCAATACTTTCTGTGTTGTTTCAGAATAATTTGCATCTTACTGTCTCCGCTTTACTAGCGGCTGCATTTGTTTGGATGTCAGAGCTTCCAGCAAAACTCAATCCAATAATTTTGCCTATAATGTCTTCCATTAAAAGAGAACAGGTATGGGTGTATTTATTGTTAAAAAAAAATAAAAAATGAAAAACTCTAATTTCTTTTTTTAATTTTCTCTGTAGGAGGAAATACTGCAAAGTAAGGCTGCTGAATCGCTGGCAGAGCTCATCCATCACTGCATTGAACGCAAACCAGGTCCCAATGACAAGCTAATCAAGAATCTTTGTTCATTAACAGCCTCGGATCCTTGTGAAACACCCAACGCTGGAGCTCTAAATTATGTTGAGATTATTGAAGACCAAGACCTTCTATCCTTCGGAAGTAGTAGCGTAAAGCAGAAATCAAAAGTTAACATGTTATCTGCTGGTGAAGACCGATCAAAGGTTGAAGGTTATATTAGCAGACGTGGGTCTGAACTTGCATTGAAATATTTATGCATGAAGTTTGGTGGTTCTTTGTTTGACAAACTTCCAAAGATCTGGCATTGCCTTGTTGAGGTCCTTAAGCCTTGTAATCTTGAAGGCATGACCGCAGATGATGAGAAGTTGATTGATCAAATGATTGATTCCATCAAAGATCCTCAGACTTTGATTAACAATATTCAAGTAAGCATGACAGTGTTTCTTTCAATATGTGTAATTGTAAATGACTTTTTGTAATTGTAAGAGTCAATCTGTCCATAGAGTAGATGAAATCACTTTTTGTTCCTTCTGTTCCACTATAGATCGTTACCATGAAGAACTATTGCACCTTATTCCTGACAGTATTAGCGAACATTGAGGTGTACTTTGGTTCAGTCCGCCTCTTGTTGTTATCTTAATGGAATATTGACCTAATCATTTGTGTCGTAGCATGACTGCATTTTTAGTTAGCAAGTATGGTTTCATCCAATTGGAGAACTTTCAAGGTCCCTCAGGTTCAGTTTTTCATGTTTTTTCCTCCCTTGCAACTGTTGCAGGTGGTGCGTTCTATTGCTCCTTTCTTGGAGGCGACACTGAGACAGAAACTGCTCACTTTGCTGCCATGTATTTTCAGATGTGTGAGACATTCTCATATTGCTGTAAGATTATCTGCGTCAAGATGTATCACAGCAATGGCCAAGTCAATGACATTAGATGTTATGGGTGTTCTTATTGAGAATGCTGTTCCTATGTTAGGAGATATGTCATCTGTGCATGCCAGACAAGGAGCTGGCATGCTTGTTAGTTTGCTTGTACAAGGATTGGGTTTGGAACTTGTCCCGTATGCTCCTCTGTTGGTAGTTCCTCTTTTGAGGTGTATGAGTGACTGTGATCATTCTGTCAGACAGAGTGTAACACATAGTTTTGCTGCCCTGGTGCCTCTGCTTCCGCTAGCACGTGGTATGCCTCCACCTGTTGGCCTGACTGACCGTTTGTCCAGAAATAAAGAAGATGCACAGTTTCTGGAGCAGCTAGTTGACAACTCTCACATTGATGATTACAAACTCCCTTTTGAACTGCAAGTGACCCTGAGGAGGTAATTTCTTATTTTCTGCGAATGTTTTTTTTAAGGTGAATCGAGTTGAACTGAGCGGAATTGATCGAATGGTCGGGTGTATGGTAAAATTGTACATACTATTTGTAGATGATGTATTGGTTCATCATCTTTGCTGTTTATTTGTATTGAATTTAAATGTTCCCCCCTTCACATAGAGTAACCTTAAAGTGAAGTCAGTACTAATAGTTTATAGGTTTATCCATAACAATCAAGTGTCTGCTAGATCATCCTTTTCTTCCACTCTTCCTGAAGGGGCCTTACTGCGCTCATATCCTTTTAAGTACCTACCTCATTCTACTTAATTTCAGCACCTAGGTTTAATACTACATTTGACATTTGTATTAGAAACCAATTTATCAATTTGTTTTTAATGAATACGACCAAAAGTTTTGGTGTTCTCTCTGTATTATATAATGCTTAAGAATATCTTTCATGTGGATATTATAAGGTAAGGATATCGTTTATTACTGTCAATGCAGTAATAAGGTGAAGCCACTGGTGGTTCCCCCTATCCTTTTTTTTTTTTTTTTTAGTAAATTCAAGTCCATTACAAGGGGAAGAAGGGGAGGGGGACTCGAACCCTAGACCTTTACTCTATTTGTAAAGGCTAGGTACCAACTCTCCTAATGAGGGTTGGTCCTATCCTTTTCATTTTAATGTTATTTTGTTATTTGTTTAGTACTTTTTCTAGAAGTTTCAATTATTGTTCTTGCATTATCCCATATATCTGGGAGTGAGGGGAAAAAAAGACATCTCCCTTTTTTTTGTATCAACTTACTTGAAGGTTCAAACTTTAGCTTCTATCGTTTTCTGTTAGTCTTATTTTACTTCAAGGGTTATGTATTCACATAACCCATGATTGCTGGCATATTATCTTCGGTTGACTGATGTATAAAATCTAGCCTCTTCCCATGTCCTTATCCAGAATTTGTATTGAATGTTACGCCTGCTGATGATCTTCTGATTTTTTTTTTGAACTTTCAGGTATCAACAGGAAGGTATAAACTGGCTAGCATTTTTAAAACGCTTTAATCTTCATGGCATCTTATGTGATGATATGGGCCTTGGGAAGACCCTTCAAGCATCAAGTATTGTGGCATCTGATATAGCAGAGCACATTGCTACAAATAAGGGTGAGGAGTTACCACCGTCATTAATTATATGTCCGTCGACTCTTGTGGGACACTGGGTCTACGAGATAGAGAAGTTTATTGATTCATCTCTTTTAACAACACTTCAATACATTGGTTCTGCTCAAGAGCGCTCTTCTTTGCGAGCAGAATTTAGTAAGTATAATGCAATTGTGACATCATATGATGTTGTCCGCAAAGATATTGATTACCTCAAAGAGTTTTTCTGGAATTACTGCATCCTAGATGAAGGACATATTATAAAAAATTCGAAGTCCAAAGTTACTTGTGCTGTTAAACAACTTAGAGCTAAGCACCGCCTAATATTGAGTGGGACACCAATTCAGGTTTGTCGTCAAACTAAAATTCTAGTTGCAAGCGATTTTTTTTGTACTTGCTTGCTGACAAAAACTCTTTCTAATTGCAGAATAATGTCTTGGATTTGTGGTCTCTTTTCGACTTTCTCATGCCAGGGTTTCTTGGAACAGAAAGACAAGTATGTTGTACAACCCTGATTTTTAAAAACTGCGTTTTGTTTTATTTATAAGGCTGACAATTCTGTGATATTTTCAAGTGCTGAAATTTATTTAAATACACTATCTCACTCTCTATGATTCTGAAACTCAAGGATGATTTAACCCTCTATTTTGTGCTTTACCAAATTGATTTGTCTAACAAATTGAGTTCGTATAGACATTCTGGATGCTGCTATTTAAAAGCTTTATTTTCAGCTAATTCACCAATTTTATATATCTTTCAGCCTATTTCCCTTAACTATTTGTTCTTTGGCAGACCTTATTATAACTGGTGTTATTGAAACATTGGATCCATATTCTTTTTTTTTTTCCTTTCGCCTATTAAAATGAAAGCAATGATTGATTAAAATTTTCCTTTTTTAATGTGATAAGCAAAGGTCACTACTTACTAGAAGTGTGTTGTCATCTTGGTTAGATCACTCTGAAACTATTTTGCATGTTTTATTCACTATTCTAATTATTGTCTCTGGTACTTCAACAGTTTCAAGCTACATATGGGAAGCCTCTGTTAGCATCTCGAGACCCTAAATGTTCAGCAAAAGACGCTGAAGGAGGGATACTAGCCATGGAAGCATTGCACAAGCAGGTAGTTATTTTTGTCTCGATTCTTCGATGTTATTTCAACTATCTATAGGATTTGTTTGTAGATTTTCATTTTGCATCTGTAATTTGCTCTGGCTGATGGACTCTCCTCTGATAGGCTATGCCCTTCCTTTTACGTCGTACAAAAGGTGAAGTTTTATCTGATTTGCCTGAGAAGATTATTCAGGACAGATATTGTGACTTGAGTCCTATACAGCTAAAACTGTACGAACAGTTTTCTGGCTCACACGTAAGACAAGAAATATCAAATATGGTTAAGCAAACTGACGATGCTAGCGGGCCACCCAAAACATCTTCTCATGTGTTCCAGGTATGAAATGATTGTTTGTTATAGCAAATATAATAAATTTTAGTTTTTTCCTTGACTTATATTTTCTCCGTTTCAGGCACTTCAATACTTGTTGAAACTTTGTAGTCATCCATTACTTGTCCTTGGTGAAAGGATTCCAGAGTCACTCTTACCTATGCTGTCAGAAATGGTTCCTGCAAATGCTGATATCGCTTCAGAGCTTCATAAAACACATCATTCGCCTAAACTTGTTGCCCTTCAGGAGATAATGGAGGAGTGTGGAATAGGCGTGGATGCGTCTAGTTCTGAAGGCCCTATTAGTGTTGGACAACATAGGGTTCTGATATTCGCACAACATAAAGTAATTTACTGCTGCTATCTTTTTATTTTTTTATTTTTTTATTTATGATATCTCGTTCCTCCATATGTTTGTTTTTCTTGGTTTGTAATTATGACTGCATGCAGGCTTTATTGGACATTATTGAAAGGGACTTGTTTCACTCTCAAATGAAAAAGTGAGTGGCCCCATCTCTTATCTATCATTCCTTTATAAGCATGAATATTCTTACAACCCTCCTGTTCATCTGCATCGACTGATTTAATTGCTTGGTGCCTATTTTTAATCAGTGTTACATATTTGCGGTTGGACGGATCAGTTGAACCTGAAAAGCGATTTGACATTGTCAAAGCCTTCAACTCAGACCCTACAATTGATGCTCTTCTGCTCACAACACATGGTACAAATTTGTTTTCTTCGTATTTTCAATTGGTTGCCAAAACTCAACGTCGCAGAATTTTTTGTGGCTTCAATCTAATAAACGCTACATGCAGTCGGTGGGCTTGGTTTAAACTTGACATCTGCTGATACCCTCGTTTTTATGGAGCATGACTGGAATCCCATGAGAGACCATCAGGTATGGTTATTGATGAGTAATCTATAAATTGCAGAATTTCATACATAATAGACGTGATTTGCCAAATATTTTAATATTAAAAAAATACTTCTAAGAGAGAAATGAAAAATGTGTTTTTGCGCCTTTTATAACTGCGAGAGTTGACGTTTCGAAAAAAACCATTTGTGTTTTGCACACTGGCAGGCTATGGACAGAGCACACAGATTAGGTCAGCGCAAAGTTGTCAATGTCCACCGTCTGATCATGCGAGGCACCTTGGAAGAGAAAGTGATGAGCCTCCAGAAATTCAAAGTATCAGTAGCCAATGCTGTCATCAATGCAGATAACGCTAGCATGAATACAATGAACACAGACCAACTCCTCGATCTCTTCACTTCTGCAGATGGCAAAAAGGTTATTATTATTATCATTTGCCCAGAATTATATTCTCTCAATACTTTACGAGTATTATCTCATATTTTAACCGTGTGCGTTATCCGTGTTTGTTTTAATCCAGGGAGGAGCAAGAACTTCAAAGGCATCTGATGGTGATACAAATTTACCAGGCAAAGGAAAGGGACTAAAAGCCATTCTTGGAGGGCTGGAAGAGCTTTGGGACCACTCACAGTACACTGAAGAATACAATTTAAGTCAATTTTTGGCGAAATTAAACGGCAACGTTTGAATCAAAGCTGCGCAGGATGTGTATAAAGTAGTGTAAATTTTTCAATTTGCAGCTCCAATTTTGACATCTAGTTTTTAGCTTTTTTTTTTTTTTTTTTTTTTTTTTACTTTCGGTTTCGTTTTTAGCAGTTTGATCCGCTCATTTTTGTGCGTGCTGGAGGTAGTTTAGTCGGAAAATATAGCTCAGGGAGGAGTGGGTTGGGGTACAAGGAAAATATGTAAGTTTTGGATACTGTACATACATTCAGATGTTTCCTGATTTACAGTTGGTATTCAAAATTGATTCAACCTCAATTATACATTTGAAATGTATATTCTGTTCAGACAGTACACGGAAATCTATGGGGCTATTTTTTTTTTCGTTTTCTTTCGTTGTTCAAATGCGCAGATCAAATTTTGTAACGGTAGCTAAAAGTTGTCGGTGTTGGCAAATATTCTAATTTTTTTTTTGGCATCAATATTATTGCTCATATTTGTATTATACGTTAATAATAGTAAATAAACAAAATTCACTAGCGCACTTTTGAATCAAAAAATTGTTGTAGAGAATAAGAGATGATTTTAAAAATAATGAATTTAAAAAAAATAATCTAAATTAAAAAAGTACTATAAATACCGTGTAAAGTAAAAACAAAAATCTCTTTCCAACAAAAACCAACACTGCACCCGACCCTGAAGAAGACAAGAACCAACTAGTGTTGGAAACTTGACCCGAGTTATGTAGCACCATTTTCAAGAACCAAAGAGGCAAGCTCCAATGTGCATGGCAACTCATTACGTGGAGTAAAGCTCATCCTTTTCTTATAACCCAGTCGACCGCAAAGTGTTCGACGAATTGTCCAAGAGAAAAAACAATGTTCCATCGAAGGCAGAGTTACAACGATGCTGTCTCCCTTGCAATATACTTCCGCCCGTTCATCCAAATTCAGAAGCGCAATCTCGTCAATGTAAAGTTCAAATGGGTAAAGGACACTCTTCTCGATTCCGTAGTTTCGAGCAGCGTGCACCTCAAAGCCACTTGCACCCTCGTTTCCCTTATCGGATCCAACCCGGAATCCGCCTTACCCGTTTACTACCTCACCAGATATCGCGGCCAGCTAGGCCTCCCTCCAGACCTCAAAGTCTCCACTTTCGTTCGCCGCTACCCCAATATTTTCCGTGAATTTTACCGCCCCGATTCCAGCGGCACCCCGGTTCCGTGGTATAAATTAACCCCCGAGGTATTGGAAGTATACCATCAAGAAATGCGTTGTGTTTACGACGATTGTAACGTGGATATTCTGAACAGGCTGCAAAAGTTGCTTATGCTTACGAAAGAGAGATTGCTCCCTCTGCATACTATCGATCAGCTTCGATGGGACTTGGGTTTGCCTTACGGTTACGAGAACGAGTTAGTGACTAAGCACCCCGGGTTGTTTTCTTTCACGAAACTGCCGGATGATCGTGTGGGGTTGAAACTATTAGTTTGGGATGATTGTTTAGCAGTTTCCCATCTCGAGTCAAAAAAATCGAATCTTGCGGAAACGAATCACGGGGAATTGGCTTTTCCAATTGGGTTCACTAGGGGTTTCGGGTTGAAAAGAAAGTGCATGGAGTGGTTGAACGAGTGGCAAAAGTTGGCCTACACTAGTCCGTACGTCGACACATCGCATTTAGATCCAAGAACCGATGTCTCCGAAAAGAGGATTGTTGGGGTGTTTCACGAGCTTCTTCACCTTACAATTCTCCGAAAGGTCGAGCGAAAAAACGTGAGTAATTTACGCGGACCGTTGGCTATGCCTCAGAAGTTCACTAAGGTGTTCGAAAGGCATCCGGGTATTTTTTACATATCGAAGAGAGGTGGGACCCAGACTATTGTTCTGAGAGAGGCTTATGATCGCGGGAATCTAAACGAGAAGCATCCATTGGCTGATATTCGAGGAAAATACGTTGGCATGATGAAGAAGGGGCTTTTGGATCGAAGTAGGGGATTGTATAAGAAAGAGAGTAAGGGTTCCGAAGGTGAAGTGGTGAAGATTCATTTCGAGTCCGAAACGGAGTCGGATTGTGATTTGGTTGCGGGGTATGAATCCGACGAAACCTAGCTCAATAAAAAAATTAACTTGTGTCGAGCAGTCTCGGGTTCTTACATGCTCAAGGAACGGTGGTAAAAGGCATCTATCTGCCAAGAATCGAAACTAGTGCATCTGCGAAAACGGAGAAAATTTTATGTGAGTATGGCTAGGAAAGTGGTTTAGTTGGTTATCTTTCAACTTCACTACACAACCTACTTCCCTTCTCATAAAATAAACAAATAAATAGCTAACTTGAAAGATCTGAGTGCAAAGTGATTTATCACTTGATATCTAAATGACTTGGGCAAACTGTTTTATATTGATTTCAAGAAGATCTACTTTCTCATGGACATGGTGGATTATTATTTTTATTTTCAATTTTATTTGATTTTAGTTTTTATATAGGATAAATTACAATCAGCCCCTGAGGTATTGTCAAATTACAAAAAAACCATCTTGTTTGGATAATTACAATCACCCCTCAAGTATAAATCTTTTTTACATGTCCACCCTTGCGGTTTCAAATTTAGTGAAATTTTCGAGATTATATGGATTATTACCACTTTTATACCCGTTTTATTCTATTCGAACTCCACATTTTGAAGCGAGATGATCATAATATGTGTTTTTAAGCTTGTATATATCAGATTGTCGTGCATCAGAAACTACATTTTAACACAAAATGAATACAAATTAGAGCACATTTTACGAAATCTAAATGATTAAGTTGAATTTGACACCATAAGGGTGGAGGTGTAAGAAAAAATCATAGTTGAGAGGGTAGATGTAATTATCCAAACAAAAGGTTTTTTTTCGTAAATTGACCATACCTCAGGAGGTGATTATAATTTACCCTATATATGATTAAAATTTCATCAATTAAACCGAGAATAGCATTACGGCACAAAACGAAATTATTTTTTTGAGCCAAAAGCCATAATGTACCATAAAGAGAAAAAAGAAAAGATGTAGTTTTAGGGCCTCTTTTGTTAGACTTATTTTAAATGGGTGATAAGCTCTTACGAGTTTATTTGCTATTTTTACTCATAATAAGATCTTAAATAAAAGAAAAAATTAGTTAGAGGTCCATTAAAAAGATTCTCTATAACTATAAGGACACGCGTATTTTGCCATTTTGTTAAAAGTCCTTGTGCGCTCCCCCTCTAACGAAATCGCTTAGGAAAACTGACAGTAACAACGGCGCGGTGATTTGCATAGCTTAGTTGCAAATTTTATTTATATTAATAACCAACAACTTAGTTAAAATCGAAGGAAAAAACTAAAATAAGAATACTGCTTCCCACAACATACACACAAATTACACAAATACCTTAGTTACACAGCTTAGACAACTTATTTGCATTGCTTAGTGACACAACTTAGTTAAATAAGGTGAAGAAAAAAAAATTAAATCTCTGGTGCATACATCACCACCAACGTTACCATCATCGTCACCATCACCATCACCAAATAATTCATAATATTTTTTTGATTTGGTTTCCATGATTATTAGGTTACAACGGATATGAATGAGTGTAACCAAAATCATATGTGGGCGTAGAAGTGTGGTTGCTTATGTGTCTACGTATGTATGCATTTATGTCTGTACCTGTGTGTAGAGCTTCGACGATGGCAGCAGCGGAGAGCGGAATTTAACTACTATGGAGTGAAGCAGGGTTGGATGGATCTGACGAAGTGAAGCGTGTTAAATCAATTTGACGTAATGAAGGCGAAATGAAGAACAAAGAATTTTTAGCAAATTTCCAAAATCCGTCTTGTCTTGATTTGAAAGAGAATTTGTGCCCAACAATATTTAGCAATTGCCCATCAATAAAACTGTGGAATATATGTACTTATTACAAAAACACTCTTATTTTGATATTCAATAGCTCATAAAAAAAATCGTATTTAAAAAAAATTACCAAACATTATGAAAAATCTTATAAACTCTTGAGCATATTATAATTATTTTTAACAGCTTATAAGCTCAACCTTTTCTTTTGATTTATCAAAGAGAAATGTTTAATTTATTTCGGAGAAGATTAGTACTCCCAGTTCATTGGGCTGCAAATATAAACCCTAACCCTAATCTGTTTTCTTTTTTCCCTTCTCCTCTCACTCCAAAATTCAGCCGTCCTAATTTCTCTCAATTTTCATCTTATTTTCCCCTTATTTTCCATCTTCTACATCTTGTTCCGACAACCCATCAACAAACTCGTCGAATTTCGACAATCTATGGCCAGATCCGTCGAATCTCAACAATTCATGGTCAGATCTGTCGAATTCTGGCTATCCACAGCCTACTCCATCAAGATCCGGCCACCTCGGGAAGTCCAGCCAGATCCCGCCGTCGACGCAATGTTTTGGATAAAAACTGGTTTATTGGCCAGTTTCAAGGTTCACCGGTTCCGGCTGGATACAATTGCCTAATATTCTTATTTATAAAATAATAAATAAATACGGTAAGCGCTCATACTTTTCCCTCTCTTCTCAAATTCAATTCCTCTCCATTTGTCTTCTGTAACACAATTCGCTCCATTTCACTTTCTTCGTCTGGGTTCCTCCGAGTTTCACTTTATTTGTCTGAGTTACTCCATTTCAATTCATAAGTTACTTCATTTCGAACCGTGCGGCCTTAGCTCAGGAATAACTTAAGAAGATAAGAGAGCATTGTAGAAAATACTTTTATTGCTTAAGTGCTTGGATGTTGAATTCTTGTTGGATGCTTACAAATGAGGACCCTACCCCTATTTATACTAGGCCACCTCCTTAATGGACGGTGGAGATCTATTTGATCTAATGGCTAGGAGTTGTTCACTAGAACACTCCAAAATATTCTTACAAAATATCTGGGTTTTAGAAAGCTTTCTAGAATATTGGCCTAACCCTATTTGGGCTAAATCTTGGGCTTCTTAATCTCCCAACCCAAGGACACCCGCAAAAAGGTTGGGCCAAACTAGCGGGCCGTGACAGTAAGTACTCTTCGATTTGAGTTTCACTTTAGATTTTAAAAATTGATTGATATGAATTTCTCTACTCGCCATTTTACTGTTCGTCAAACACATCTCTAACTTTGTGTGCGATTTTGTGTTTACATCAATTTCTCTACTCGCCAGGTTTACGTTCGTCAAACTTATCCCTAATTTTGTGTGCAATTTTGTGTTTATGTTGATTTTCTAATTGATGACTTTTTCGCCTGTTGCTTGTAAAACCTTTGAATTTTAAATAAATTGCGAATTAATTGCTTGTGAGACAAATATGTTCAAATATGACTTACAGGAGAGTATAATTCGGTTCAATTTGTTCTTCAAATCTCTGTACTCTCGCCTTGTTACTGTTTGTCAAACTCATCCCTCATTTTGTTTCCGACTTTATTTATGTTGATTTTCTGATCGATGACATTTTTGCATGTTATTTGTAAAACCTTTGGATTTGAAATAAACTGTGAATTAATTGCTTGTGAGACAAATATATACAAATATGACTTAATGAGAGCATAATTCAGTTCAATTTATTCTTCAGAGCCCTCTAATCTCGCCATGTTTCTGTTTGTCAAACTCATCTCTAGTTTTGTGTGCGATTTTGAATTATGCCATTTTCACTTGTTGCTTCTCGATTTGGAGTTGTATGCTGCTTGGCAATGTCTACTTGCTATGTTGACCGTAATTTTTGGACAAATTGATTTTACTCTTATCTTTCTACATTATTGAGATTAATTTTGACTGGAACTAAGTTGATAGCTTCAGTTTTGAACATAAATGGCTTTTGCTTTTATCGAGATTTAATTTTGAAAATAAATTGATTTAATTGTGTTGATGAGATGAATTATTTGCTCTTTTCAGGTGTCTCGGAATCTCCGTCATTCAGTGGAAGACAATTTCCTCAGTGATGATCAATACCAGTTCATGCACCAAGTAGAACAGGGTCCATCGAGTTCTGAATTAAATGGTACAACCTCGATCAATCCCGTTCTGAACCCACTGCAGAACTCTTATGCTAACCATGGCTTGAATCAGAACCTCCCATCCAAAGGAAATGTTGCAATCTCGGACACTTCCCTTCCGAATCCACTGCAGAACTCATATGTTAACTAGGGCTTGAATCAGAACCTCCTCTCCGGAGGAAATATTGCAGCATTGGTCACTCCTGGCCTGAACCCACCTTGGAACCCATATGCTAACCAGGGCTTGAATCAGAACCTTTTACGGGCCCATGTTGAAAGACACTCCTACTACACGTCAGCGGGACCAAATACAGAAGAAAGATAAGCAGATTGCTGGAAGTTCTCCTAAAGTTTATGGGCCCATGTTGAAAGACACTCCTACTATATTTCAGCTGAAGAAAGATAAGCAAATTGCTGGAATATCTCCTAATGTATATGGGCCCATGTTGAAAGACACTCCTACTACACTTCAGCTGGACCAAAAGATAAGCAGATTGCTGGAAGTTCTCCTAAAGTTTATGGGCCCATGTTGAAGGACACTCCTACTACCTTATGTTCAATATATATCATACTGAGTTTTACCCTTTATTTTACCGATTTTTTACTATTTATTTGTTGAATTTTTCTTTTCACTTTCTGGATGAGAACTTCGCCGTACAACACGCTTGGGAAGTCTCAGCCACCATTGCAGCCTCCTTTAAATGTGCAATCATCCAATTATCAACTTGCGAAGTCCAGCCAGATCCCTCCGTCGACGCAATGTTTTGGATAAAAATTCTCTCCATTTGTCTTATGTAAGACAATTTGCTCCATTTCACTTTCTTCGTCTGAGTTACTCCATTTCGATAGAGATCTTTGTTTAAGTGCTTGGATGTTGAATTCTTGTTGGATGCTTACAAATGAGGACCCTACCCCTATTTATACTAGACCACCTCCTTAATGGACGGTGGAGATCTATTTGATCTAACGGCTAGGTGTTGTTCACTAGAACACTCCAAAATATTCTTACAAAATATCTACAATGAAGGGTTTTAGAAAGCTTTCTAGAATCTTGGCCTAACCTATTTGGGCTAAATCTTGTGCTTCTTAACCTCCCACCCAAGGAAATTGGCAAAAAGGTTGGGCCAAACTGGTGGGCCGTGACAGTAAGTACTCTTCGATTTGAGTGTCACTTTAGATTTTGAAAATCGATTGATCTGAATTTCTCTACTCGCCATTTTACTGTTCGTCAAATTTATCTCTAACTTTGTGTGCGATTTTGTGTTTACATCAATTTCTCTGCTCGCCAGGTTACTGTTCGCCAAACTTATCCCTAATTGTGTGTGCGATTTTGTGTTTATGTTGATTTTCTAATTGATGACTTTTTTGCCTGTTGCTTGTAAAACCTTTGGATTTTAAATAAATTGCGATTTAATTGCTTGTGAGACAAATATTTTCAAATATGACTTACATGAGAGTATAATTCGGTTCAATTTGTCCTTCAAATCTCTGTACTCTCGTCTTGTTATTGTTTGTCAAACTCATCCCTAATTTTGTTTGCGATTTTGTTTATGTTGATTTTCTGATCGATGATATTTTTGCATGTTGCTTGTAAAACCTTTGGATTTGAAATAAATTGTGAATTAATTGCTTGTGAGACAAATATAAACAAATATGACTTACATGAGAGCATAATTCAGTTCAATTTGTTCTTCAGAGCCCTCTACTCTCGCCATGTTTCTGTTTGTCAAACTCATCTCTAGTTTTGTGTGCGATTTTGAATTATGCCATTTTCACTTGTTGCTTCTCGATTTGGAGTTGTATGCTGCTTGGTAATGTTTACATGCTATGTTGATCGTAATTTTTGGACAAATTGATTTTACTATTATTTTTCTACATTGTTGAGATTAATTTTGACTAGAACTAAGTTGATAGTTTCAGTTTTGAACAAAAATGGCTTTTGCTTTTATCGAGATTTAATTTCGAAAACAAATTGATTTAATTGTGTTGATGAGATGAGTTATTTGCTCTTTTCAGATGTCTCGGAATCTCCGTCGTTCAGTGGAAGACAATTTCCTTAGTGATGATCAATACCAGTTCATGCACCAATTAGAACAGGGTCCATCGAGTTCTGAATTAAATGGTACAACCTCTGTCAATCCCGTTCTGAACCCACTGCATAACTCTTATGCTAACCAGGGCTTGAATCAGAACCTCCCATTCGGAGGAAATGTTGCAATTTCGGACACTTCCCTAATCCACTGCAGAACTCATATTCTAACCAGGGCTTGAATCAGAACCTCCTCTCCGGAGGAAATATTGCAGCATTGGTCACTCCTGGCCTGAAACCACCTTGGAACCCATATGCTAACCAGGGCTTGAATCAGAACCTCCTATCCGGAGGAAATATTGCGGCATCGGTCACTCCCGGTCTTAACCCACCTCAGAATGCAAATGCTCTATGTACACTGACAATGGTAAAAGAAGCACTTCAGCGGGACCAAAGATAGAAGAAAGATAAGAAGATTGCTGGAAGTTCTCTTAAAGTTTATGGGCCCATGTTGAGAGACACTTCTTCTACACTTCAGCGGGACCAAAGACAGAAGAAAAATAAGCAGATTGCTGGAAGTTCTCCTAAAGTTTATGGGCCCATGTTGAAAGACACTCCTACTACATTTCAGCTGGACCACAGACAGAAGAAAGATAAGCAGATTGTTGGAAGTTCTCCTGAAGTTTATGGGCCCATGTTGAAAGACACTCCTAGTACTCTTATGTTCAATATATATCATACTGAGTTCTACCCTTTTCTTATTGATTTTTAACTATTTATTTGTTAGAATTTTTGTTTTCAGTTTCTTGAACAGGTTGAGAACTTCGCCCTACAACACGCTTGGGAAGTCTCACCCACCATTGCAGCATCCTTTAAATGTGCAATCATCCAATTATCAACTTGTGAATGTGAAATTGAACATGTTAACCTTGTTTGAAGTATATATAATCCCTTATTTTGAAGTATATAATCTAATTTACTTTGTCGAACAGCTTGTTTGAAGTATATATAATCCCTTATTTTGAAGTATATAATCTAATTTACTTTGTCGAACAGTGGTTATGGGGGAGTCTTCCTGAAATTTCTCAGTCTTCTTCTGGATAATTACTGATTTTTTTTTTATATATATTATCGAATGTTTATTGATTGTTTACTATATTTTTGTTAAATTGTCCTTTTCACTTTCTTGAACTGGCTTGCAATTGTTAACGTTCAACATCATGTGCAATCGGAGAGGTGAAAACAAAGTATCCTTATCTCTTAGTTTGAAGTGTACGATCTAATTTACTTTCTCGAACAATGGTTATGCTGGAACTCCAGAATTGTTAATTCCTGAAATCTCGAACCCAAAATCCTAAACCCGAAACACAAAAAATCCTTGTTCGAAGTATATATAAAACTAATTTATTTTCTTGAATGGTGGTGTGTATTGTGGAGTTACTTCCTGAAAATTTTCAGTCATCTATTTATTTACTGATTTTTTAAGTTTGCCCGAAATTTCTCAGTCCTTTACTCTGTAATTGCTGAATGTATAATATATCTTGAACTTGAACAGGTTGAACCCTCTTGGAATGACTGGCCCTTGGCATCAACAACCTAACAAGTAAGTGAATGAAAATATATATGTTTGAAATATACAAAATCTTTTTGTTTGAAATAATATTAACCAATTTACTTTCTCGAACAGTGTTTATGGGGTAACTCGACAACCAAGTTTGCCTGAATTTTCACAGTAAGTAATCTTGTTTTAATTGAATAATAAGTACGTAATCTTGTTTTCAAATTGATTGTATTTTATTTTCAGGAACAAGATGCCTCAATTACCACATCGTTCTTCGGATGAATCATTCCTGGAAAAGTAAATACAATTTCAAATTCCGCAAGCCATTTCTTCGTTGGAATTTCTTAGGGTGTGAGAGTTCAGAATGAACCACCCCAACCAGAACCGTTCACGTTTCGTAATTCTTACAATTTCCCAACACGTCCACAGTCGGGTCCTTCTCATGCCAGCGGTTCGGCCCAAACTGCTGCTCAATTTGCTGGTACCACCTCTTTTCCAAATCTTTACTCTCATCCCAGCATCTCAGCAGCGCAATCCGCTTCTCAACCAACAGGTAGCACATTTTCTGCAAACCCTCGTGTTTTAGGCACATATGTGCTACCGGTTGGTTGAGAAGCGGATTGCGGTGAGATGTTGGGATGAGAGTGAAGATTTGAAATTAGAGGTGGTACCAGCAAATTGAGCAGCAGTTTGGGCATCATAATTTGACCGTACTTCAGGGGTGGCCATAATTTGATCTAATAATTATAAAAAAGAGAGTGAATGAAGCTCCGGGCATTCGGATTTAGTAGATTATGGTTGCTGGGTTACTCTAAAGAATAAATAAAAATATTTTCCAGAATTCCAACATCTAGAATTATATATAAAGATTGAATGGGGGCAAAAACAAAACAAAATACGAACAAGCCATATAATTATAATAAACCAAACCACAATTCATCACATTCAAAACGCCCAAAGAATAATTATAATAAGAAAAAAGAAAAAAAGAAAAAAAGCACAGAATACCCAACTTAGGTGAAATGCTGGCTTGAAGAAAATAAACCAAATAATTATTTATTTTAGGCCCATGCGTATTTATTTGGTTTTAATTGGACCCGAACCCGAAACCCGAAAACCCAGTAATTATTGTGGGAGTAAATAAATAAAGAAATTCATCTTTAGACCACTGAACATCAAAGATAATATGTCAATCAAATACAAATTTGAAACTTCATAAACTTGTACATCATAATACATTAATATCATGATTAAGTAGGGGATTTAATAATTAAAACAAATAATTATAAAAAATAAAAAATAAATGTTTCCATAATCGACATCGATCACTCATTCTTATTTCCTCGTGTTGCCATTCTTCTTCCTCGGAGTATGCTGATGAAACGACCGCGGACTATATTCAATAATTACGAAGAAAAAAAAATGTATTAGCCCGAAAAAAAAAATCCCAAAAAAAATAAGAAAAAGGCAAAATTACGAAATTACCCGCAGCTTTGTGGAACAGACCATACAGGTGGCCGAGATTTTCTTACATTTTCCGGCAAAGACAGATAGTTTCTCCAGTCCCGAAGAAGTATTTTGAGATCGTGGATTTTATTATCCAAACCGGCACAGCAGTTTGCATGCATTGTGCAAACTAAATTCAAGTCTTTGCTCGGTTGACAAAAGCCTCCGAAATAAGCCGTGTCGAGAAACTTAATCTCTAGCCCGATCGTCTCCTTGATTAAGGGGTCGTACTTAATCTTGTCAAGTACGTCTTGATCGTGTTTTCTCGGATAAGACTCCCTTGCATTGTACCAGAATTTGTAGAACTCGATCGTCTGATTGCTCGATTTCGCGTAGTTGAACCCTCCGTTTGGTGCATTGTTCACGTCGGAGGGGTCGCCTTTGAAGTTGTCGCACGATATTTGAAAGTTTGTGTCTGAGTAAAAATGCGGGAATGGGTTTCGTAACCACATTATATCCGCGTCCTCCACAAATAAACCGAAGAAAAAAACTAGAAATTAATATTGTCTTAATAGTTAGGGATGGAAATTGGATGGAAATTAATAATTTCCGACCGATTCTGATCCGAATATTTTTCATTTTGGATCGACATTTTACAATTTCCGACTCCGAATTTATTTATTTTAAATATTTAAAAAAAAAATCCATTTGCCTCCGAAAATTACACGTATATGATCATTAAATTTATGCATTTCATATTATAGGTGGCTAACCAATTAGAAACTATGACTTCTGTCTATTCCAATCCGAAAACTTTCAATTTTGGAACCATTTTATTTATTCCAAATTTTGAAATCCCATTTTTTTTAACGGAATCGGAATTAGTTTATCACATTAAAAAATGAATTTTTTTTTTTTTCATTCTGAAAGTGCTAATTCCGGTTCCATCTGTCCGATTAAGTACAATATAATATGTAAATTCAATAATAAATGATTAGAAATACTCAATTGAGTGATTTCACTTACCGTGAAAACGAAATTGTATCCGATCTCGAGAACATTTCGAAGAAAGTCAATCCTTCGCCACATCATCAACAAATAATCCGGGGTCATGAAATGCGCCTCACCGGCAAAGTCGACACCTTTTGTAGTTAGAAAATAGCAGTTGAAATGTGTCCTTAGGCAGTAATCGAACGCCTTTCGGTCGAGACAAACAACCACCAAATGCTTAAGAAGCCAAAGTGTGTCGTTCCCGATTTTAAAGCTCTCGAGGAAGAGATCGAATATCGAATCCGGTTCTATCCATGCTTCGTTTAGGGTCGTTATAATTACCGTTTTGTCACTCATGGCTGCCCTTTTCAATACTTGCTCCAACCCTAGCTCTTCACTTACCTAAATAGGTATATATAATAGAGATATATAGACAAATTAGTTTGAATTTTCTTTTATTTTATTTTATTTTTTAATTTTTATTTCTAGTATTGAAAAAAAGCTAATTAAGCTGAACATAAGTGAAATGCAGATTTTTCAGAGCAAATACTAATAATAAAAACATTAAATACGAAAAAAAAATTAATAATTTCGACGTACTTGAGTTGAATTGTTTGCACGAGACAAGGAGAATGAATAAATCGATTTCGGGAAAAACCGAAAAGGGCTTGCATCAGCTTGATAAACGACGACGCACGTTAGTGCAACCATAGTGAACAGTAGCACCACTCTACGGACGCGGCGGAAGAAGAAGAAGCGGTTCTTATTGGTGTTCAGATGGTGGTTACCGCCGTTCTCCGGCGGCATTTTGCCGCCTATAACAACACTTCCACCACCATCTAAATCCATGATGTAAACAGAGTAATGTAATAGAATAGACTTTCTTGACTTTAGATTCCTATATATATAATATGATCATCATTTATTAAATTTTGCTTGGATTAAAGTGAAATTTGACTTGAGGCTAGAATTGGAAAAATAGTGTCACGTGCTTGTTTGCTGGCAAGAAAAGTAAAATCAAATAGGAGAGATGTTTTCTTTTTCAGGAATGCCCATTTTTCTCTGGATTCCTCTACTTTAATTCACTATTTTACCATTTATTATTTTATTTTATTTTAATTTTTTTTTTTGGTTTTCTTGATTTACAGTTTTACATACTCATAGCTTCTTTATTTCGTTTCCTATTATGAAAATTCATTAATGGTTGTAGCTTTTCATTCATTGAAACAAATATAGATGGTTGACAAATGCTCTTCATCGAAATCGGGTTTTTTTTTTTTTCTTCTTTTTTTTCTCGCAAGATGGCTCGGCTCGTGCAACGTGGTTTTACCCAATGCACGTATGTAGCTGCAATTTTCTTTGTCAACCAAAATAAAAGATAGGGACTTGTATAATTCCTAATAATTAAATATGAACGTGTGTTGTGCATAAAGAGGTAATGGTTTCTCTTACTTGGCAATTGAAATTGACTTTTTCAATTGAGTTTTATTTATTTACAACTCTTTGCAGTTGAATTTAATTTAATTGTTTTTTTATAACGACTTTTTGTTTCGATGTTGAGTTGGGTATTTGCTTGAATGGTACGTTGGTGCTTTGTTTATTTAGTCTGTTTGGCTGTCTTTATTGAAAAATAAATTATAGAAAACATCAGTAAATTACGGTTACCCCTGACGTAAGATGAAATTACGAAAAAACCCCTCTCATTTGGATAGCTACAACTACCCTTAACTATGAATCTTCTTACACGTTCATTCTTATGGTATTAAATTCAATATAATCTTCTAGATTCCGTGGAATTGTCTCTAGTTTGTACTCGTTTTGTGCAAAAGATGCAGTTTCTGATGCACCACAAACTGATATATACAAGCTAAAAATCACATATTATGATCATCTTATTTCAAAATGTTGAGGTGGAACAGAGTAAAACTGGTACAAATTAAAGAATATTCCACATAACCTAAAAAATTCCACTGAATTTGACACCGCAGGTGTGGACGTGTGACCGTAATTTACCCCAGAAAACATAGCTGAAGTTTTGATTTTGTTTAATGAAACTTAGCTAATCCTATAAATTATGAATATGCTAATGATATTTCTTTAAATTTTTCAGTTTTGCAGAATGCACAGAACACACATTATAAACAATTGGTACATAATCATCTCAAATTTAAGTATCGAATAATTTAATTTTGCTGTTTAACTAACCACTATCTAAATAATAATTCTAAACAATATCTATATATTGCTCATCAAATTATATCAAAGAAAATTACCTAAAATTTTCCTTGCATCAACATTCTTCTTTCTTGGTGTATGCTGACCAAACGAAGCAGGGCTGAAATACATAATTATGAAAACAATTAGCCAAAATGCTGAATAAATGTATAAAAATGAATTTTTTTTTTGAAATTAATTAAAGATTAATGGAAAAAAAAAATAATTACCCGCAACTTTGTGGAACGGACCACGAAGGCGGTCGATTTTTTCTTACATCCTCCGGCAAAGACAAATAATATCTCCAATCATCGAGCAATATTTTAATGTCATGAATTTTATTATCCAAACCAGCACAACAATTTGCATGCATTGTGCAAACCGAATCCAATTCTTTAGGCTGACAAAACCCTCCGAAATAAGCTGTGTCAAGAAACTTAATCTCTAATCCAATCTCCTTAATCACCGGACTGTGCTTAATCATGTTAAGCACGTCTTGATCGTGGATTCCCGGGTACAATTCCCTCGACTCGTACCAGAATTTGTAGAACGCAATCGTCTGATTGGTCGACTTAACGTAGTTAAAACCTCCGTTGGGTGAATTGTCCAAGTCTATAGGGTTGCCCCAGAATCTGTCACATGAAATTTGGAAGTTTGTATCTGAGTAGAAATGTGGGAATGGATTTCTAAACCACATTATATCTGCATCCTGCAATAAAAAAAAATGGAACCAATTTTTAATTTTTTTTATATATATGAGTTTATCGAATTGTAAAAAACTCCCCGTATTATTAATATTAGCAAAAAATTATCTATCATGCTTTTTCTTTAGCATACACCCCCCCTGAAAAGTGTGTTTTTAGGGGTAGTTTCGTAAAAAAAATTGAATCATAGGTGGTCTTTGCTAACAAAATAAAATGAGGGGTTATTTTAAGGATTAGAGAAAATACAGGGGTGCCGAATGCAATAAACTCATATATCAAGAGATAAATGGGATTTATTGCATTTAACACCCTTTTGTTTACTCTAATTGTCAAAACATCTCTTCAATGTTTTAAATTTTAGCAAAAGCCCCATCAGCAAACTGCTCCCTAAAAATGCACTATTTAGGGGGTTATGTGCTAAAAAAATGCATTGTTGGGGTTTTTTTGCAAATATTTCTAAAACAGTTTTAGCAGTTCGATACCTCACAGGGGTACTAAATACAATAAACTCGAGAGAAATGTATATATATAGATATGTACCGTGAAAACGAAATTGTATCCGAGCTCAAGAACATATCGTAGGAAATCCATTCTTCGCCACATCATCTTCAAGTAATCTTGGGTCATGAAATGAGCCTCAACGGAGAAGTTTACGCCTTCGGTTTTGAGGAAATAGCAGTTGAGTTTTAAAACTACTTGGCAGTGGCGAAATGCCTTTTGGTCTAGAGTGACAACTAATAAATGTTTAATAAGGAAATTTGTTTGGTTTCCGATTTTGAAGCTCTCGAGAAAAAGATCGAAGATCGAATCGGGTTCTATCCACGCTTCGTTTAGGGCTGTTATGATCACTGTTTTGTCTGCCATTGCTGATTTTTCCAACACTCGTATCAAGCATAGCTCCTCATTGTAATTTCTCTAAATGTATACATACATATATATAATAAACAAATGGGAGTTAGATACACATATTTTCTCAGAGATATATACTGAATTTTGACTATTTAATCACGGCGAATAATATTGATATGTAATGATAATTGCTTCATTTACTAGTTATATAGCTGAAAAAAGTTTTTGGTAACAGTATATATATATATATATACACATTCCTTCTTCCTATTGAATCTTTCAAGAAAATTATTACCAGTATATTGGAATTTATTGCATCCGGCATCCCTGTATTTTCTCTAATTAGCAAAAACTCCCCTATGATCCAATTTTATTTGGCAAACTACCCCCAAGGAACTCACTTTTTAGGGGATTGTGTGGGGGAAAATATAGTTTTGATCCCTCAATTTTGCACCAATTTCAAATTTGGTCCCTCATGTTCACAAAAAAGACATTCGATCCATCATGTTTAAAAAATTCAATATTTTTAGCCATTTATGTCAATTTTTCGTTAAAACTAACGAAATCAAGCGTGTGTCCATCACCTACTTAACTGACGGACTAATGGTAAATTGACGGAAATGACAAAAAATGTTAGATTATTGAAACATGAAGGACCAAATGTGTGTTTTTGAACACGGGGACCAAATGTAAAATCGGTGCAAACTTGAGGGATGAAAACTGTAATTATCCCGGATTGTGTGCCTACAAAATGTACTGTGGGGTTTCTTTGCTAAAATTTATATCACGGGGGATTTTTTTTAGCAATTTAATAAAATACAGGGGTACTAAATGCAATAAACTCTACATTGTTATATACACACAATTACACAGTTTACACTAATACACATTACACACACGTTTGAGTGTGTGAAATATGTGTGAAAGTCGGATCCCCTTGACCAATTTCACTTGATCATACACCATTGATAAACAATTAGCGACGAAATTAAAGAGCGTTTAGCGACGGAAACTTACAGATGATGAATTGCAGACAGAATGGTATGCATGAGAAGAAAAGGAGAAGGAAGAGTAAATCGATCGTCGCAAAATCTGGAAAGGGCTCTCAGAAGCTTGATAAAGCATAAATGACGTCAGCGTGACCATAGCGCACATCACCACCACTTTCAGGAGGTGGTGGTTGAAGAACAAATGCCTCTGGTTAGGGTTCAGGTGGTGGTAGTGGTAATCGCCGCCGCCACCCAACTCCGGCGACAATTGCCTGCCTTTTCTTCCACAATCTGAATCCATGAATTAATCGGTAATTTGTTTGAAGCACGTGAATCTGTAATTAAATTTGATTGGATTTGGATGGGGTTTGAGTGAAGGTGAAAGCCGGGAGTGGGAATTGAATTAGATATAATTGAAAGATAAGTGTGTGTTTAATTAAGGAAATTATTAATTAATCTGATTAGGAATGGTTTAATTCATTCATTATCTACATTAACTCCCCCTATTAATTAGTGGATGCCAAGGGTTTGTGAACCTGAAGAAATACACCTGGTAATTATTAATCAATGATGTGGTGGAGATTAACAATCAATAATCACCGAGTGTAATATCAAATTAAATATTACTATAACTTCATTTTCACTAATAATTTAAATTAAATTAAATTTCAATGAAAAAGTGGAAATGACTATAACTTCATTTTCACTAATAATTTAAAGTAAATTAAATCTTAAGGTTATATATATTCGTGTTTTTTTATTATATATTAGAAGTTATTACAATTTTTAATTTTCCAAAATTTGTGCGTATACAATAATTAAGTGACCAAATAAAGAGTTAAATTATCATCACATAATTAAAAAAAAAAACACAGTTAGTATAGTTGTTATGAATTATGATCACTTCACCCAATGCAAAATTTCACATCAAACTTCCAATTTTTTTTATTTTTTTATTTTTATAGTTTTCCAATCGAAAGAAAACCGGAACGGTTTAAAGGCGCGATGCCGCCCTTATTTCCATAATGCCGTTAGGGACCCAATCTAGTGGTCGCTGCTTATCGTGGAGATGCACGTATGGACACTGTGGACTCACATCATCCAGGACCGACTCCACTAGCATAACGCCGTCGGGGTCCCAATCGTCTACATTATGTGTAACATGGAACCCCATCTCCTGCAACTTGAGCACCTTCTCGTCCGTCGCCAATGGCAAGTCCTTATTATCGATTTGCACGCCAAACAGTATACCTAACATCTCTAAAGGCCTAGGCAAATGTATACTCCCATGCTTCGCATACCATTCTAGTACATAATAAACAAGACATTAAAAAATATAAGGTAAATTACAACCACCCCTGAGGTATGGTCAATTTATGAAAAAACCCCTCTTGTTTGGATAATTACATCTATCCCTCGACTATTATTTTTTCTTAGACCTCCACCCTTATGGATTTCGTGGAATGTGCTCTAGTTTGTACTCGTTTTGTGTAAAAATACAATTTTTGATGCGCCACAATCAGATATATACAAGCCAAAAAACACATATATTATGATCATCTTGCTTCAAAATGTGGAGTTCGAATGGGACAAAATATGTGCAAAAGTGATAATATTCCATATCATCTAGAAGATTCCACTAAATTTGAAACCGCAAGAGTGGACGCATAAGAGATTTATAGTTGATGGGTGGTTGTAATTACCCAAACAAGAGGAGGGTTTTCGTAATTTGACCATACCTCGAGGGTGGTTGTAATTTACGCAAAAATATATATTTAAAAAAAAAACACACAATAAAGAAAATATATATATTTATATATATACCCATAGAAGCGAGATCGTTATTTTCTTGAGCGTAAGCCGTGATTTGCTCCACGTAAGCATCGGCTAGTTGGATTGAGTTGACCGCAGTTGTGTGGTAAACTCAGCCCAAGCCTTGGCTCGTTGCAAGAGCGGCTCGTCGGGCTATATTTGCTCGTTGGACCTCAACGTCTCTATTAGAGCTCTCTTTTCCGGGAGACTAAGGCTCAATTCTTGCGCGTATTCCCTAAGGAGGTAGGCGATCAGGTAGACCATCTTACGAAACTCTAAAACCTGCTGCTCTATTCTAGGCCACATCTTCACGAGACTTGTTGAGTTTCGTTCGGGATTCCGAACCGAGCATTTGGACGGTACGGGTGGTTTTGTATGGCTTTCGTGGGCGACGGACCGATAGCGCTGGCCATTCGAGAATTGTAAGATTCCATCAACTTATTGAGATGGGCAATGTTCGACATTTTTGTTTTCCCTGTTCGAAACATGTTTTTAAAATTCGTTTTATTGTCGAACTAATTAGAACTAATTAGAGCATAAGTGGGAGTATCAAACGGATTGTCAAACACATATTTCACCTCTTTGTATGTAAATATACTTTATGAAAATTGAGTTATCAAAAAGTAACCATCTAAAGATCCAATCGCAAATTGAAATGTAAAAATTATAAATTAAACTACCCATAAACTTCAAACTGGTAATTAATTAAATAACTATGGTTGGAGTATAAGAATTTCAAATGAGTATTAGGGTTGCTAGGGTTGCTCTAAGAATAAAAATCTTTCAGATTTCCAATGCATAAGAATTATATGTCGATGGCACTGAATTTAAAACTGTTAAATTTTTATAAATTAATACAACTATTGGGACCGAAAAAAGATAATACTTAATCGAGAAATATTATGAATTTATCTGGTATTAATTTATCGAGATAATACAACACTATATTTCACATTCAAAAGTACAGAATGCTCACCTAAGGTGAAACGCAGGCTTAAAGAAAGAAACCAAAGATACAACCCTAGATTCGTTTCGCCTTCAACATAAGACAGGACTCTAGGGTTTTCCTGTATTTATTTATTTTTATTTATAGTAGACAGGCCCCCCAAGTTATTATTTATTATATTCAGGGCCATCAAAAAAGAATTATTTAATTTAGGGCCAACTTTTCATATATGCGTATTGATCTGGTTTTAATTGGATTGGGCTGGGATAAAATACAGTTTTCACTTTTCATCCATCAAGTTTGCACTGATTTCACATTTGATCCTTTAAGTTCGCGAAAAATAAATTTGGCATCTCATGTTTCAAAAATTCAACATTTTTTTATCATTTTCATCAATTTTACGTTAATTAGTACTAACCGAATCAAACGTGTTTTCATCACTAATTTAACTGATAGACTAACAGTAAATTGAGGAAAAGAACTGAAAGTGTTAAATTATTGAAGCATGATGGATCGAATGTGTTCTTTGTGAAAATGAGGGACCAAATGTGAAATTGGTGCAAACTTGAGGGGTGAAAATTGTAATTTTCCCGATTGGGCTCAATCAAATACTCCCTCCGTTCCTAAATAATTGTCACTTTTCATTTTTCACAAACACTACAACAAAAATGTCTTTTAGAGACACTGAAAAAATGTCCTTAAATGTACCATTTCGGGACATTTATACTTCTAGAGGCAAACAAAATATATGTCGCGTAGTTGTGTGTCGCAATAGCTCACGGGGCATTTACTAAATGTCCCGAAAGAAATTTATTATCAAGACACTTATATATGTCCCAATAAAGTATTTTTGAGGCACAAATATATGACCTATAAAGATATCCGTATTAGTTCCTAAAACCTTTTCGCGACACTTAATTTAGTCAGAAGACATTTATATATGTCCCTAAAATATAATATTATGCTATTTATAAATATCAATTTTATGCAATAATACATTTTTATAAAAGTTATAATTTAATAGATAAATACATACATATTAAAATTCTAAAAAGATAATCAAACATCGTAACATTCTCAACTATCATTCATGAAATAATCAACTGTAATTGAACATTATATATAGTCAATAAATACTACACAAATCACAAGTCTTGCAATATAAGATTACAATATCCCGAACTTCGTTAGTTTCTAACCAAAAAACTGAAAGTGTATCTTGAACAAACAAAAAAAAAATGGTCTAACTTCAGCTCACACCGAATTATACGTGATGAAACCAATAATCAAACTCGTCATCCAAAAACCTGCATGTACAAAAGTTAGTAACAAGAAAAATCAACGAATATGAAAGTCAGTTTTACCTCAAAAAAATCAATTTTTCTTCATGTATTACCAAGTGATAACCAAATATGAAAGTCAACGAATAGAAATGGTGATCTATAAAGGAAACCAAGTTAAAGAAGACTACTAGAGTAAATAGAACATACCAATAACAAGATATTTGAGTTTATCATCCAAGATAACATGCATATGCATATACAAGACATACAACAGTTATAAATATGAAACAAATTCCAAAATAATATTAACGTTAACAATACAAGTGAAGGCATATATTCTCAAATATCCCCCAATATATAAATAACTTACATTTATGTATCAGAAGAAACAAGTGATATCACTATATTAACAATAGAGACCCAATTAAGACAATCAACCAACAAAAATTGATGATCTATAAATAAATACAAATAATAAAACAGGAAGGTGTATATTGCCTCTTAGTGAAAATCCTCAAAATTGTGTGCTTCCACAAATAATGAATATAACGTAAAATATGAGAAAATTAAACAAACAATAAGCAACAGTAAACATGAAAGATTAACCAAGCAAACAAGGGAAATTGTCAAGAATTAATACCCGATATTATATGCACGGTCTTTATCAGATAACTTCTAATTCTCTTTCAAAAGTGGAATTCTTGGATTTCTATTTTTTGGGGCCACTCATAGCATCTCTTTATCTTCATTCTTCACGTAGTTCTCATCAAATCAAATGTATCAAGAAATAATCAAGAAACAGAGTTATGAAATAATAGAGGAAGGAAAGATATGTTCTCCTCATTGGATAATGAATAATTAAGAAATCCTATCCAACAAATCAAAATAGAGACTTGGCTTGTCACATGAATATTAAAAAAAATTAACCTAAGTTCATTACAATGGCAAACCTACTACAACCATTTCACAACCTGTGGTTTCACGTTCCATCCGCACTCAACCACCATCTATAGCCATTATTGACAGTATAATAATAATGAAATTAAAATAAGCAACACCAAGACATATAGTGATTAGAAAAGCAGAACTTACTTTTGGAGCCAATTTTAGAGAATTTGCCATCAACAAGGTGAGCGTCGAAATAGGCCAAATGAGCAGTCCGAGGAATCACCCTTAAAATCTCAGTCCGATTAAAAGTGTATACTGGAAATCATGATTCCAACAACTTTATTGTGCCTTTTTTATACCTATTACATTAATCGTCAATATAGAATAATTTTACAAAGTAACTCACACACTAAAAAAATAAGAAGAACATAATAATCAAATCAAAAGCAGTCTCATTTTTCTATCGAGACAGCAAAGAATAACAAATGTTGGGATTAATTCGTGAGATGAGTTTAAGAGTCATTAACATCGCAAAATTTCAATTTATTTCGGCATTTAACAAATTATGATTTATCATTATATACCGTTCTCTTCTTATCTTTCGCAATTTCCCACTTCCCGTATCAAACAATCAAATGGGTTGTTAAAGGAATTAATAACAATCATATTCTTATTTGCAATTACAAATAACGCAAACACATACATAATGAGTTATTTGATACTATTAATCTGTTTCTCAAAAAAAAAAAAAAAAAAAAGAACAAAAAACCCAGCGATGAAGGGCTAGAGATTTGATGATTTGAAATCGATCACCATAAATAGTGAAAGCAAAGATGGAAGTACCTTCGGCTTTCTTCTTCGCTGTCGTGATTCGAAGGAAACAGATCGATGCATTTTTCTTCTTCGCGGCGTTCTTCTTCTTTGCAGGGCTAGGGCTTTGTTTCGTTTTATGAAGAACAGATAAAAAGTGGAATGAAATTGGGGGCAAGAGAAAATGAAAGAGTACTACCGTTTAATTAAAACTTCCACACTTAATCTTTTATTTTTATTTTAATTAAAAAAAGGAAATTTTTATCAACTCACTGATGAATGGATTGTAGTCTGTAGAGGCATTTATAAAAAATGTCTCTTAGATTTAAGTGTCCCTATAACACTTTTACATAGGAAAAAATGTTAAATGTCCCAATAAACAATATTTGAGGCATTTCTGGAAAAATGTCTCTAAACAAGTGTCGTAATAGACACTTTTTGTTGTAGTGAAAGATTAAGAAACTCAATAAATATATCTTGATTTTAGAAAAAATCATATAAAAATGACTAAAACAACCTTTAATATTTAATGATTTATAAGAGAAAATTAATGAATAAAGTTTCATTAATAAGGTTAAAACAGAAAAAATGCATTTAATGTAGTATTGGAAATCTAAAGGAACAAAAATATTTGGGTTAATAGCATTTCGCCACCTAGACTTTGCCCGTTTTTGCACTTTACCACCTTAACTAAAAAAAGTTGCAAGGGCACACCCAAACTCACTTTTTTTACGCACATAACCACCTACGTGGAATATTCCGGCGAATTTTCTCATTTTCCGGCGCACGCGCGATGCACATGCGTAATGGAAGTTTTTTGGTCATTTCACCTCAAAATTTTTGTGGGGCCTGTTTTTTCTCTCTCTCCCTTTCTCTCTTTCTCTCTCTCTCTCTCACTTTCTCTCTCTCTTTCTTTCTCGGACACCCACACATATACAGACATCCCCATCATCAGCTCTCAGCGCCGCCGTCCAATAAACACACACACACAATCAAACACAGATTGAAGAATCAATCTGCATCTCTCTATGAATTTCTTCTCTACTCAATTAATTTTGAATTTTTTTTTAAATAAAAAAACCCTAGCTTCTTCATCAGCGCCTCTCTATCCCCACAGCTCAGATCTCACATCTCATTTTGCCTTCTTCAAACAACACACACAAACACGCACCCCAGCGTGAAGAGTTTGCTTCTACAAAAATCCATTCCTTTGATTTAATTTTGATTTTTTTGATTTCGATTCAGATTTTCTGTGTGTATATATATGTGTAAGTATATATGAGCAATGAAGACTACTTGTAATTGGTCTCGTTCGTCGTAACGGCATTTCAATGCCTTGCCGACTATCCTGTTATATCACCACCCATAAACTGAGCTCATAGGTAATTCACTTTAATTTTTTTTGTATGTATATATATGTATATATATTTATATTTTATATAATTTTTTTCTGGATTTTTTCGTTGGCCAATGATTTTAAAAAAATTAGACAAGCATATGTCTGAATTACCACATGTGGATCAACCACATGATTTTATACTTTCAGAGTTCCCATCACATCATTGATTCTTGACAAAAACACAAAGAAAGAAGAGAAGCAAAAGATGATGATGGGGCATGTTTGTATGTGTGTGGGTGTGCATGAAAGAGAGAAAGAATAAGAAAGAGAAGGAGAAGAAAGAGCAAAAAGAGGGCCCACAAATTTTTTAAGGTGAAATAACACCAAAACCTCTCCATTAAGCATGTGTATCGCACGTGCATTGGAAAATCAGAATATTCGCCGGAATATTCCTCCTAGGTGGTTATGTGCGTCAAAAAAGTGAGTTTGGGTGTGCCCGTGCAACTTTTTTTAGTTAAGGTGGTAAAGTGCGAAAACGGGCAAAGTTCAGGTGGCGAAATGCTATTAACCCAAAATATTTTAAAAAAGAGACAGTTATTGGATTTGGGAGTACAATTTTGAAACTTCATATTCATTAATACAGATTCCATCCCTCAAATTGGCACCAATTTCACATTTGGTCCCCATGTTCATAGAAAACACCTTTGGTCCTCATGTTTCATAAATTCAACACTTATAGTCATTCCCATCAAATTTCCGTTAGCACTAGCGGAATCAAGCGTGTGCCTTTCACTGACTTAACTGACAAACTAACGGTAAATTAATGGAAATGACAAAAAATGTTAAATTATTGAAACATAAGGGACCAAATGTGTTTTAATTTTCTGAACACATATGATGAAATATGAAATCAATGCAAACTTGAGGGACCAAAACTGTAATTTCTCCGTATCATATATCATATACAATCTCTAATCCCAACCCAAAGAAAACCGAAATATTGAATTTATTACTACTAAATGTGTACACAATTTAGCTTAAAATCAACATAATTATCACCTAATTAATTAACTAATCATTCAAATTAATCATTTTTTTTATTCAGCCACAAATCCGAGGAACAGTCCAAAACCTAGTACTCAGATTCCTCTCTCCACCAATAGGAATCGAGATATTATACCTCTTCCAATCATCAATCACCATTTTAATATCATGGATCTTGTTTTCCATCCCAATGCAGCAATTCGCATGCATTGTTACGACCCGATCCAGATCTTTGCTCGGTTCGCAGAACCCGCCGAACTCGGCGGTATCCAAGAACCGCATCTCCAACCCAATCCGTTTGATAAACGGGTTCATTTTTATCACGTCCAGCACGTCCTGGTCGTGCTTCCCAGGGAAATAGTCTCGACCCGTGTGCCAGAATTTGTAGAACTGGATCGTCCGATTGTTCGACTTCACGTAGTTGAACCCGCCGTTCGGCGAGTTGTTCAAGTCGGTGTAGTTGAACCAGTAGTGGTCGCATGCGATTTGGAAGTCGCCGTCGGGATGGAATCTTTCGAATGGATTCCTTAGCCACATTACATCAGCATCCTAAAAATATACATATGTATATATTAAATTTAAATAATTGTAATTACGAAAAATCTTTCGTTTTGACAATTACTTCCACCCCCTACAGTTCGTAAATTTCTTACATCCAACCCCCTACAACAGGGGTGTTAATGTAAGAAATCTACAAATTACATGGAGTGGACGTAATTATGGGAAAATGAGGGGGGGAGGGGTGTAAATAGACCTTACTTCAGGGGAGTTTGTAATTTACACAATTATATAATTGACCCATATATATACGAATATAATGAATTATATTATAGAGCGATAACTATATATATCTTTCAAATTTCAAAATATAGGAAGATTGAAGACCATATATTATAAGTATAATCCAGGGGCGGACCCAGGGGCTAAAATATGGGGTGAATAAAGAGAAGGAATAAAAATATTTTTTATATGCTAAAGGCGTACAAATTTTAAATTGGGGGCAAAGTCTATAAATTAATAGATAAATACCAAAATGCAATAAAGAAAAAGCAATAAAAAATAGGTATTAAATTTTTTTTGCAGGGGCAGGAGCCCTGGTTCCGCCCCTGATAGTATAATCAATCCTTTTATACGAAAGTCGTTAAGTCTTGATCGTTTGCATGAGTCCGATTATATATTATATCATCTTTCTACTGACTAACTAATTATTAAGTTAAAGTAGTATACTAAATTTGTTAGAATTTGGTGCATAATATAATTAATCCCTCGTCGCTAATTTATAAGTCGTTTTAAATTTCACGATTCGAAATGTAGTTAGTCAAATATAATAGTAACGTAACAATCGAAATTAACTTAAAAAAAGGGAAGGGCATAGAAAAATTGAGTACCGTGAAAACGAAATCGTATCCCAACTGAAGAACGGTGTGAAGAAAGTCGATCCTTCGCCACATCATCTTCAAATAATCCTCGCTCATGAAATGCGCTTCCCCTGAAAAGTCGATGCCTTCGGTGGTGAGGGCGTAACAGTGAAGGCGCACTTCCAAACACCGAGAATACGCCTTTTGGTCCAACGCGACAACCAATACGTGCTTCAATAGATCTTGAGTCCCGTTTCCGATTTTGAAGCTCTCTAAAAACAAATCGAATATCGAATTCGGCTCTGTCCATGCTGCATTTAGGGTTGTGATTATCACTGTTTTGTTGTCCTTCATTGCTGCTGATTTTAGTGTTTTCTCCAATTCATTCACCTCATTTACCTATTTTAATTTTATTATTTATCCAAAAAAAAAATTAAAAAATTGAAAGAAAAATCGAACACTTGAAATATTTGGTGTTACGATATATGATTAAATTTTGTCAAATATAACCATACGAGAGACGTAAACCATACTAGTTAGGCTGACCATGCAGTGTGACGAACTCAACCTAACGACTGTTGGCAAAGAGATTCGAACTTGACAATTGATCAACATCGTTGACTAACACTGTGCGTGTTATATATATATATATATTAAGTATATATATATCTCTATGGCCCCCAAAGCCCGCCCCCCTATTTTCCACGCTTTATTTTTTGCCCCTTTTAATCTGAAACGGCGTCGTCTCGTAGTAATCCACCACTCACCGTGCGCCTTTATTTTCTTTCCTCTTTTCTTTTGGAATATGCACGATCGACCTCTGTGCTTCTTTCTTTTCCTTTTTTTTTTTCTCAAAATTCTTCGCCGCTTCAACGGATGATCCACAGGCCTACAATTCCTGACTTTGACCGCCGCCTCGTACGCAGCCGCCGCTTCGTTCGATGACCGTCGTCGCCGACGCCGCTTCGTTCGATGCCCACCGCCCCTGTCGCCAACGTCAGTTCCCACCTTTTTTTCCTCCAATTGCAGGCTTCTCCACTTTCGATCTCATCCGCAATTGGATTACTCTGACTTGTGGGCTCGTAATTTTTGGGTGCACAACCTTTTTCTCCAATTCTCCCAGTTTCTATTCCCATGGCATTCATTCTATTATCTTCCTCCTCTTCTTCTCCACCCCTTTTCTGCTACCAACTTGCCAGGTTTTATGCTCTTTTGCTCCCGATTTGTTCGATAAAACTTTTCCCTCTTGTTTTGCTCTTCCTGTCGGTCCTCCGGTCACCTCCACCGACGCTTGCAGTCGAGCTAAGGCAGAGAGAGAGAGGAGAGCTACAAATCATCTTACATATTTTCGGTGTATGTTTTCTGCTCCTTGGCTCTCTTTTTGCCAATTTTAAATATAAAGTATTATCCATTCGACTTATTTATATTTTTTCGTTTTGATTTACCTTGCTTTAGGAGGCTGATGGAGATGAACTTGAAATGGATGATGACGAAGATGATGAGGTAAATGCACTTATTTTGCAGTTATGTAAATGGATTTTATTATTGCAACTTCTATTACTTACTAAATGCATGTCTGCTTCAATGGTGTATTATTTCCTATAATTTTAATGCTTTGATTTGCTCGTTTTTCACAAACTAAAAATTGATATCATGATAATATTGTTAGTTTTCAATTTTTTTAAGATAATCTTTTGCAGTTTGCTGGGACTCACGTGAGTTACTTTTGTTGTTTCTCTGACTTGCTAAATGGAATCAATTTGATAGGGAAGATAAACTATGGTTAATCTATGTATAGCTCTATATTTGTCTCATTCTAAATATAATATATGATGTATTTATATGCAAGAAAAGAACAGTGATGGTTATGAAGACGACGAAGCAGAAGAAGACGAAAAATGAGCCGAGTGTGAATGCAAATTAAATTTGTTCATACAGTTTGAACATAAAAGTTTTTTTTTTCACTTGTTTGCCTAATGATGTCTGTGATGAACAAGTTTAGATGTTTTTGAAGAATAAGACTAATATATGTGGATAATATATTCTCAACTTCCTTTCAAGTCCATTTTGTCTCTCAGCACTTTCAGGCAGCCCCTTAGAAGATAGTATTAATATGTTGATGCTCTTTGAATACGTAGAGTATAATATGATGCTTCGCTTTTAGACATTTAGATGCATGAGTAATGTTGGAATATTTACCCAGATGTTATATTCGAAGCTGTTTCCCTTTTCTTTGAGGATCTTGAGCAGCTTCTCAACAATTTGGCCCTTGCCATGTGAGTTTGATTTTCTTTATCTATGTTGTTTTCTTTTTTCCTTTCCGTTATTACTAATGTGTTTATTAATTTATTTTGATACCAATTTCAATCTACGTGGTCAACATGTTTTAGATTTAACTAGGTTGATGCTCATTTTCACGACTTCAGCCGTAGCACTTTCAGGTAATAATTTATTGTCTTTGTTGTTCCATTCTTTGTGTGTATGTTTTTTTCATCCTGAAGAAATTTATGTCTTTTTCTTTGTCCTTTTTTTAATCTATTATTTCATATACTCAAGGACAATTTCAACAATTAAATTTCCTGATTTTGAGCTTTTTGGGTTTAAATTACCAGTATAGGTGCAAAGAGGGTGAATAGTTTGTGTGTTGCCCTCAGAAACTTTTGTAAAAAGAACAACTTCGACGGGTGAGTTCAACCTTATCTTAATCAGAAATTATTAATGTCATCGATGAAATTGTCTATTGGCACAAGATATTGGCTGGTTTATTGCTGATAAAATACATGTTAGCTATGTTAGTAGTTGTGCCTAATGGATTGACTATATGCTATACAATTTATTTACCCCTGCGAAATTTCAATATAGTTTCTATCTTGCCACCAATTAGTGTACTTAAATTATTGCTCCAAACGGCATCTTCTTAAGTATTCGGACATAATGGCCCTTTTTTCTTTTTGTTTTTTGTCGGCCTTACCAATTTTTGTTTTTCTGTTTTGTATGTTGAGCGGGTTTCTTGGATGATCAGTCTGTACCAGACATAGATTAGTCATTAGCCTGATTCTGGAATGATTTATTCGAACATGTTTTCATTACCGGATTTAGTGTACAGACACAATGATTTTTTTTCCAATTTTTCATAATTTCAATATTAATTGTTGAGTATTTCTTTTGCTCTGTTTCACTCTGATTATACGAAGTTAAAATGGTTCAATTTTGTTTTCCTTTTTTGCAATCTCACTTCGCGTGAGAACATACAAGTTGATATTCTGTACGACGTTGCGATGGTAACATTTTCTTAGGCTAACATTTTTTTTTCGTTGTCGTTTAATTTGAAATGTGTTTTAGGTGCTACATTTGGGTCAAAACCCTAATTTGTCCTTCTATATGCATTAGTCTCTTCTGGACTATGAAAGACACAAGACACAGTGATGAGCTTCAACTGCCGGTAGCAACACTTACTGAAGTTTCTGCTTTTGACGTTGATGTGAGTTCGCATTTAATATTTCTTATTGCATGGTTCTTCCAAGTTTTTTTATAAATTGAACACTTTCCTTTGTTGTGCGAAGGTGACCTAATATATTAAGTGCAAATATTGGGTTATTTGTTGGAAAATCTCTTGATTCTTTGGAATTTTTATATTTGAGGAGAATGTAAGTGTAAAGATTTAAACATGAACCTGATTATTTTTATAACTTTAGCCTTGCTTATGCAAAGAATCCAACACTGCGATGTTGCGGCGTTTCTTTCATCTGAGATTCCTCTGGATTTGGAGGACGCCGGCGAACAAAAAGAGTGGTAGCGGAAGATCTAGAAGAGCAACAAAATTGAAGTTCGTCGGCATCGAATTTAGGTTGGTTAAATGACCTTGATTCTCCACCGCTGTCGTGTAATATACATATTCTCTTAGGGGAGGCAACTCCACTGTTTGTTTGCTCTGTAATCTTTTTTTTTCTTCACTGATATTCATACCATATTATTTTTTATGGGTTATTTGATTTTTTGGAGTCTGGTCTTGATCGTCTACTATCAATTGTTTAGGCTTTCTAGCTTGCTTCTGGTGTTCCCCGGCGAATTTAAAGAAGGCAGCATGATCGAAGATGGCAAGACGAGGTTATTTAGGAACTTCGATGTTTAGTGATACACTATCGTGCACGTTAACTGTCTTGCCAAGATCAATCTGGCGGGCCCACTCGATACTGTTTGGGTCAACAATTGTTGAATATCGACAGGTAATTAATCGAATTGTGTTCGGACTTGTTGTATTATGATGAAAAAAAGCGTAATTTTGTTTTGTATATGTTATTTATTGAGTTATGTTTGGTGCGTGAAGGACTTGATGCGACTTCGAATGTTGCCAAACCGATAAAGGATCAACTGTGGCCATTTTCGAATTTTTTTTTTGAAATTTTATTTAAAATGAAAGAACTCACAGGAAAGGTTAACAACAATGAGGACAACTAAGATACCAAACTACAAATTAGAAAATTTATTTTTACTTATTAAATTCCAGTCTCGCGTTTTGTGATTTGTCGAAATTTACTATATGCTTAATTTTCCCTTCTCCATTTTCTTTTCTGATGGTGTTTTAGTTCGTCAGCATATAGAAATGTCCTATGTCGTAGAGAAATTATGTTTGTATGTTCATGGTTGTGGATGTATCTTCTCCATCACAACTTCTTTTACTACTTGTTTAATTTGAGTTGTTCTGATTTACGAGCCTTACCAAATTTTCTTTATATTCTTTTTTGTTAATTGACTGCAACTTGTTTGAGTACTTCATTCAATTTGAGTACGTCTGATATTTTGGACTCTGAATAAATGAGGCCAATTATTCTACAGTTTTGAATAACAGGAGTGTTTCTGGTGGAGTTAAAATATGGAACTTAATAAAACATTGCATATCACTTTTTCCTAAACTATTCCATGTGTTTTGAAGGGATTTTTCCCATTTAGGCTCATTTGCTGGTTTATTACCGATCTTAGGCAGGTTTCTATTGGTGATAGCTTTCTTCACTTCCTTTGGAAATTATATATATCTTGCTTCTTTCTTCCTTCTTTCCTTCTCGTTTTTAGTTTTGTTTCTCTGTAATATGCTAAAATTGGAGTTCATGTGTAGGTCTTATCAGCTTTCGGTTTAGTGCACAAGATTGTTGCATTTCAGAAGGCTGCTGATTTTCAGGTGAAGATTTGATGCAGAATTTATTTATTTTTCATTCAGCTGGCTGAATCTGTGTCTGCAGCCTGTGTCTACGACACGCTTATATAACATATTTCTTTCGCGTCTCATTCTTCAATTTGTTTATTCAGTCTTCCGCGTTCCTCCCCACCTAAGTTTTGTGCATTGCTGCAAATTTCGTCCTTGCTGATTGTTGTAATTTTCGCTTGTAATATTTTTTGCTTCCGCTGTTGCGCTGGATGTTCCTGATACTTTTACAACAAGGTTTTGTTTGAGTGATTCTGTTGCACAACAGATTATTTTAGATTATATGTTAATGCATTGGATTCTTTTTAATACACATTAC